TGTTCATGTACTCTTGTTGTTAGTTTCCTTCCTGTTTGTCCGATGTAGTGTTTACAACAGGACAAACAGGAAGGAAACTAACAACAAGGGTACATGAACACCAACTGGCTACAAAAAGACATGACCAATACTCACTCATCTCAATCCACATGGACAAGGAGAACCACCACTTCGACTGGGACAACACCAAGATCCTGGGACAAGCTAGGCAGAGACAGGCACGAGAATTCCTAGAAGCACGGCAGTCCACGAAGCAAGCTATTAATAAACACATTGAACTCGACCCCATATACATTCCACTACGGAGGAAACCCGGAAGTGAGGCAATCCATCGCAACGGACCCCAGAGTTTAAAAACCAGGCGGGAAAACACACCGACGCTTCATCAGAGGCTGCACTGAGGATGTTACCAAGTACGGTAACGAAACGTCTGCGGAACAACAAACCAGCTCGGCGAGCCAACCAACCTCAACATTTAATTCATCTTTTATTGATACCATTGAAATATGAATACTCTATTTTTCATCTCTGTACAGATGCTGCTGAGTTTCTCCAAGTCTAACTTATGCCCAATCTTTCAACCATGCCCCCTTCCCCTTACCCTACCCACCAGCAACATGCACTTCTGGAAAGCATGTGTGTTGAGGAGTAAAGGGAATGGGAAACTATTTAGGCTTCATAATACGACCATTGGACAGATGGATGGCTTTCTCCAAATAATGAAAGAGATCATGTGAAAATGCATCCTGCTTTATTGATGCACATTCATGTAATTACAACAGGAGAAATTTAGAAATCACGGACCGTCTTTCAGAAGTAAAGATGAATTGTTGTCCTCCCCTTTAGAAAGCTTGATGGAAGATAGTGACATCACATTGAATCCTCAACCTTTTCCGCTGTACTAAAGGCATTATACCAAATATTGCAAGAGAGGAATAAAAGTCTTTATCATGATACGTAAAATCAATGTGAAACCTATTGCAAAAAATTGTTCTTTTTAAATTGTATAGCATAATTTATTAAATGCATAGTAATCTGTATGGATTTAAATGTGTCTTAAATCTATTATTAGATGTTAATGTTGAGATGTTAAGTAATTTCCAGAGAATATTTAGGATGATTTTTCACCTGATTTCATTTTATTTCAGATGGGTATTTTAGCTATTCAGAACGAAACAGTGAGGGATTTGATGCTAACAAGGATCTTGCAACTGCTGAGACCCCACTTTCCACAATTTAAAACCACAGATTATGCAGACTGGTTCCAGACTAACTTGCTGCTTCTGCTGCCCAGCATTAAAGCTGATGACCTTGCTCTCATACCTACCAGCATTTCCTGTGAATCAAACCAAGCGATGTGAGTACAGAATCAATTTTGTTTTCTGCTTTCATGGGATCTGAGCCTCACAAGGCTAGCAGTTTATTACCCACTTCTACTTGAGAAGGTGGTGATGAGTCACTTTCTTGAATAGCTGAAATCCATGGGTGGTAGGTGGGGAGGGAGTTTCAGGATTTTGACTCAGCAACCATGAAGTAACACTGAATTAGCTTAGGCTTGTGGCTTGGAGGGGAACATGCAGATAATGGAGTTTTCATGCATCTACTGCCCTTGTCCTTCTCTTTGGTACCACATAGGTTTGGATGGTGCTATTAAAGTAGGCTTTACTAGTTGCTGCCATGAATCTTGTAGACAGTACACACTGCTGTGGCTCAGTGAAGAGAGTGAATATTGAATGTGATGGAAGGCACGCTGTAAGAGGAGGCTTCTTGGTCTTGGATGGTGTCACACTTCTTTAGAATTTTTGGAGCTGACCTTATCCAGGCAAATGGAGAGGAGTCCGGACATGTGCCTTGTAGATGGTGGACAAGCTTTGCAGTCAGAAGTTGAGGATACAATATTTATAGAGAGCTCGACTTCGCAAGAAGAAGTTTGGATCATTCATTCCCCACAATTTGTTTGCATATTTATTTGCCTAGATGCCTTGTCACTGTTACAGTAATTAATAGTTGCTACCAGTTCCACCATATATATGCATTCACAGGAACAATTCCAAAAATGCCTTCATCTTTATTTCTAATACGCAATGTTGTAAATACAGACATTTCAACCATTGCAGTGAAGGAATATTTCCAATGTTGAACAAGTTGTTCAGGCACAGTTATATAAATTCACTATAAATAATAAAGAGAAAATCTTTCTCGTCCGCTTCTGGCAAATTTAAAAGAGTCTGCAGCTTATTACTTTGTTGGTTTTCATGCAAAAATACAGCATTGAACATTCACCCTTTATTTTAATTCATATAGAGTTAAAGGACTGGACAAAGTTTTCACAAAGTTAACAACGTCTCAGATCACTAATGTCTACAAACTGATATCGAAATACCTCTTAAAGCAGCTCAATTCAACAGGTAATGTGCCAGAAACAAATTACAGTAACCGATAAATTGCAGTGTGCAGTTATCATCTCATGAACCCTGTAAAATGTGTTCCCTTCAATTATCCAACAAATTCTCTTTTGAAAGCCATGCTTAGATCTCTCTTGAATTTGAGCATCTTTGCCCAATCTCCTTTCAGCTCCGCTCTGAGGAGAACAACTGTAGCTTCTTCAGTCAGTCAACATAACTGAAGTTTCTCATCCCTGGACCCATTGCAAGAAGTATTTCCTGCACCATCTCCAAAACCTTCACATATTTCCCAACGTTTAGTGCATAGAATTGAACGCAATGTTCCAGTCGTGACAGAACTAGTTTCCTTTACCTCCAATGAATATGGGAAGGAAGCACCTTGGATTGTATTTTATAGGCCCAAAGGTGGTGGGTGATTGGGAGGACACATAATCCGTAAAATTCTCTGGGCGCTGTGCGTGCCATCTACCTGTACACCCTGCCACAAATTTACCAGTAGCAGGGAGCTTTAAGGAGGTCTGCCCAACTGTGAGCCAATTGAGATCATCAAGTATCTAGTTAATGGCCACTTAAACATAGAAACACAGAAAATACGGGCAGGAGTAGGCCATTCGGCACTTCAAGCCTGCACTGCCATTCATGGTTGATCACCTAACTCAGTCCCCTGTTCTCACTTTCTTCCCATATCTCTTGATCCCTTTAGCCCAAAGAACTGTATCTAACTCCTTATTGAAAACATTCAATGTTTTGGCCTCAACTGCTTTCTGTGGCAGAGAAGTCTACAGCCTCACCTCACTCTCTGGATAAGAAATTTCTCCTTCTCACAGTCCTAAGTCACCTACCCCATATGCTTAGACTGCGACCCATGGTTCTGGACTCCCTGGTCATCAGGAACAGCCTTCCATCACTTATCCTGTCCAGTCCTGTTAGAATTGTATAGATTTTTATGAGATCCCCTTGTTTATTCTTCTGAACTCCAGCAAACATAGTCCTAAGCAATCCAGCCGCTCTTCATGCATCAGTCCTGCCATCCCTGGAATCCTGTTATCCCATGGCCTTATCCTTCTGCCAGTGATTGAACCAGCAATTGGAGAAGTCCATGCTAATGTCCATTCCAGCAGCTTTCAGGTCAGATCTGGTGGCGTGCAGCATTGGGGTCGTATTGGATGCCTGGTCTGTCAACCCTGGCTCCTTGCCAGGGCCTACCAGACTGGCGCCAGTCTACTTACCTCTGGACTCAGCTGCAGAGCTGCATACCCACCTGCCCAACTCATTGCAGCCCCCTACTGGCAGTAGCTATTACACCCAGTGATGCTGCAAGTGCTGAAGAGCTGCCAAGGTCAGATCGGCCAGCAGCTCTCTGAGCCGGGACGTCCTCTTTGCTGAGGAATTGAAGCTCTGCCTCGTCCTGTTTTAAAGGCCAAAGAACTGACAATCACCAGCGGGGCTCACCTCCAGATTTTAGACATCTGTACACGTGCCCACCTTCCACCACACGAAACCCAGGGTCCTTGTTACGGATAGCAAAGGGAAATTGCAGCATTGATTCGTTTGTCTCCTGCGTTGCAGTCTACACTACACTGCACAGTTATGAAGAGTTTCTGAGATATGGAAATGTTGGTCCTGTTTCCTTTTGTAGGTTTTGCGTGCACTGTGAATATCACCGGGAGCAGAGATTGGCTTCTCAAGAACTTTGGCAGATTCCGTTCACAAGCTGATTACAGCAAGCTAATATCACTGAACAGTGACTTTAAGGGAGTAAGTTATTCATGTCATGTGGAAATACAGACTATTTTTTAATTTGCCTTTGTTACGTGGAACTATCTGTAAGAAATTAGCCAAAAATCCAAGAGCTGAAAATATTTCTTCAAAAGAGAAAGAGTACTGAGATAAACTAAGAAAGATTTGAGATATCTAGCAAATGTCTAAAAAGATGTCTTGTTCTGAATAATAACGTAAAAGCAATGACTGCAGAAGCTGAAAATTTAAAAATTAAATGATAACAGAAGATACTGGAAATTCAGCAGCAAATGTGGAGAGACCGACAAGTTAGCATTTCAAATCCAGTATGACACAGACAGGACAAGGAAAAATGTTTCTGAATAAGTAGTATGAGGAGCTAAGCATCGAATTAAAAAAAGACCCAGCCCTGAGCAAATTGGTATAGGGTGAATATGATTAGAGAAATCAATGGTGTGGCTGAAAGACTGGTCATAGAATCCCTACAGTGTGGAAGCAGGCCATTCAGTCCACACCAACCCCCCAAAGAGCATCCCACCCCCTTACCCTATTCCTGTAACCCTGTACTTACCATGGCTAACCCACCTAGCCTGTGCACCCCTAGACACTATGGGCAATGTCTAAGGCTAATCCAGCTAACCTGCACATCTTTGGACTATGGGAGGAAACCAGAGCACCTGGAGGAAACCCACACAGACACAGGGAGAATGTGCAAACCCCACACAGACAGTCACCCGAGGGTAGAATTGAACCCAGGTCCCTGGCGCTGTGAGGTAGCAGTGCTAACCACTGAGCCACCATGCCTGCCCTAGTTTTTAAGGCTAGCTTTTAATTCCAGACTTTGATTCAAATTTCACCTTCTGCCATTCAAACCCATGACCCCAGAGCATTAGACAGGTCTCTGGATCACTAATTCACTGACAATGCCACTAAGTTTACAAGTCTACCTCCGAAAAAGATGTAGGAATTGTCTTCTCTCAAAGTATGGTAAGTCTTTGGAACTGTCTCCCTCAGAAGGATGTGCAGGCACAGTCTTTGAATCATTTTAAGACAGTGGTGGAGAGATCTAAAAATTCTTGATAAGCATGGGGTTTGAAGCATTATCAAGGGGGTAGACAGCAATATGGAGCACTTAGATCAGCCATGATCTTTACTGAATTAGTGGAGTGGGTTACAGGTGGAGTGTGACTTTCACCTACACTTAATTCATTTGTTTGTATGCTCCTGCAGAGTGTCATGCTTAACTTGAAAGGTGAACTCTATTCCTGTTTCCAGAATTGCTCCCAAACCTGCTGAGTTCTTCCAGCATGTAGTTTTTTAATTTAATTTCTGAACAGTGATAATCTCTTTGCAACAGTGAGCATCTAAAAGCAGAAGTTCTTCCAGGAGAGTTGAAATTAATCATACAGATGCTTACAAACGTAAATCACAACATGGGTTTCTGGCAGTACATTAAGAATTTAGAAACAGAAATAACTGGTAGCAGAGCACACCCTGTCAGAGTTCCCTCAGGCAGCCCTTTTTACATTGCACACATTGAAGTCAATGAGAAGAAAAAGAGAACATTGTAGGAGAAGCCACTAAATTGTAGTGAGCCTCTCAAAGTACAGTTTTAAATCCCAAGGTCAGTAGTTTGCTTGTTGCAGCCAGCCAAAGGGATATGTTGTTTGATAAGATCTGCCCACCTTTGGGACCTAGCATCATATCAGTACTGTAGCGCAACACCATCATGTCCCCTGAAGACAGATGTAGAGAATTTATGTCTGAGTGTGATGTATCTTCAGAAAGTGGTGCAAAAATAAGAGTGTTGGAATAATTTTCATAGAATTCCTACAATGTGGAAGCAGGCCATTTGGCCCATCAAGTCCACACTGACTGTCTGAAGAGCATCTCACCCAGACTCACCCCCTTCTCCTCTATCCCTGCATTACCCATGGGTAATCCACATAGCCTGGACACTATGGGCAATTTACCATGGCCAATCCACCTAATCTGCACATCTTTGGACAGTGAGAGGAAACCAGAGCACCCAAAGGAAACACACACAGACATGGGGAGAATGTGCAAACTCTACGCAGACAGTTGCCTGAGTAAGGAATCAAACACAGGTCCCTGGCACTCTGAGGCAGCAGTGCTAACTACTGGGCCACCGTGCTTTTAAGATAGAAGTCGATAGATCCTTGATAAGCACTTTCTCATACAGTATACAAATGTTTGTTTTTGTTTCACACTGGTATTTCTTGCAAATTGTCCTGATGAGTGCAAGATGAGTAGTTTTGACAAACTGTTTCTTTTATCAGCAGGACTCAAGTTCTGAACTATCAAATGACCAGAATCCTTTTTTTCACTTTCTTTTCATTCAGCTTGATGTTGTGGACTTACTGACTGTAAGACAGCTTGCCCAATTATCTGCTAGCAATGGAACATTGAAGGACTCACAGGATGTGAAGAAGGTCATGAATATCATTACAGATGTTACCATTACACAATTCATGGACATTTTCAGCTTTGAGGCAAAGCAGGTAGGAAATGCAAAGAGCTAATAGTGCAACGGGGAACAAAATACAATAATAGATGGATGGTAAGTCTATTATAGTATGTAAGCAAATGTAATCCTGAATTTTAAGGGTTGTTTTTAATCACCTGAGGTGTGAGCATCACTAGTGAACTAAGCATTTATTGTCTATCTTCTATTGCCCGTGATGCCTTCTTAAACCACTGTAGCCCATATAGTGTAGGCCCAACCACAGTGCTGCCAGAAAGGGGGTTCCAAGCTATTTGACCCAGCAACTGAGAAGGAACAGTAATAAAGTTCAAAATCAAGATAGAGTATAGTTGCAGATGGTGGTGTTCCCAGGTACCTGCTGCCTTGCCTTCTAGTTATTGGAGGTTATGAGTTTTGAAGGTGCTGTCAAAGGATACTTGGAGAATTATTATAATGTATGTGGTAAGCAAAGTATTGGTGTTGAACAGAGTGAATGTTGCATGCAATGCCGTGGTGTTTGCCATTCGGGCTGGTTGCTTTGTCCTGGATAGTGTTGAGCCCCTGAAGTGTTGTTGGAGCTGCACTCATCAGATATTGGAAGGCATTTCATCACGTTTTTGACTTGTGCGTGGATTCTGAGGACTTGAGATTTAACCCTCACTGTATAATTACCAACCTCTAACCTGGTCTCCTTTTCTGAGGAAGGATGCTCTTGCTCTCAAGGGAGTGCAACAAAGGTTTACCAGGCTGGCTCAGATGAATGGGGGGGTGGGGGATGTCATAGAGACTTATAAAATTCTAACAAGACTAGACAGGGTCGATGCAGGGAGGATGTTACTGATGGTGGGTGTGTCCAGAACCAAGGGTCACAGTATGAAGATTTGGGGTAGATGATTTAGAATGGAGATGAGCAGACATTTCTTCACCCAAAGAGTGGTGAGCCTCTGGAATTCATTACCACAGGAAGTAGTTGATGCCAAAACATTGAATGTATCCAAGACATGACTAGATATAGCACTTGGGCCAAATGGGATCAAACGTAATGGGGAGTAAGCAGGATTAGCCATGGACGATCAGCCATAATTGTGAAGAATGGCAGACCAGGTTCAAAGGGCCGAATGGCCTCCTCCTGCTCCTATCTTCTATGTCTTTATGGTCCTATAGCTACAGTATTGCTATGGATAATCCTGTTAGGTTTCTGATCAGGAGCAAGCGCAAGATATTTAATGTTGGGAGAGTTAAGGGTGGTGGTGCCATTGAATATTATGGGAAGATGATTACATTATCGCTGGCTGGAAATGATGCAACATAACTTTGTGTAGCATGAATATTACTGACCACGTTTATCTGCCCAAACCTGGATACTCCAGACCAGGAAGATGTCCTCAGATGGTAGTGAGCGGTACATCGCAGGGTAGATTGTAAGAGGTAGTATGTGCCTTTTTGTTTCTGGTACCTAGGTCAGTGTTAGGTGATCCATCTAGTTTTATTCCTTCTTGCAACGAATTAACTTATTAGGTGATTTTAAGAGTCAGTCCTATGGCTGTAGGTCTGGAATCAGACGAGGTATCGATGACAAACCTCTTTCCCTGAACAAGACGAGCGAACTAAACGGGTTTTCACTGCATTCTGGTGATTTCAATATCATTGTTAATGATACGTGTTTCTTCCTGAAGGGAGTTCTAGATTGTTAGAGTTTGAACTTGTGGCAAGGATCTGAACTGACCCCAGCAGGCAGTTGTTGGAAGGGTGGGGTGGGGGGGTGGTGTCGGGGAGTGGGGGGAAAGTGGGGGGAGGGGGAGAGAAGTAAAATTGCGTGGCGCCAGGTTGGATCAGCTTCCAACACGCCTCCACCAACTGTAGGGAGGCTGTTCACCCTCCGTATACAGATGGGTGATTTACATATTTACAAAGGTATTATGACGGGCCATTTTACAATAACATTAGCTTTTTGCCAGAAGAAGAAGTCACCAGTGAAATGGAGGTGGTCTCCCAGTGGCAAATGGAAAGCCTCCCAGGCCGAAAGAGGAGTTTGGGGGGTGGGAGGGGGTGCAGAGAAAGTATTACCCCTGACCTTCCCATTATAGTTTGCCCTTCAACAGTTGACCCAGTGACAGAGTCAGGAGAACGCATGCTGTCTTTCGTTGGACGGTGGACTAATTTAAGAGGGCTTCTGTGGTAAAAGTGCTGAGCAGGTCCCACTGCCAGCAGGTGGGCCCAGGACCTGCTTTTTATCTCCCAGTGTCTGGGTCCCGTGCCCCTTGGAAAATCCATATCTCTGGAGCATCAGTTCCGGCCTCTGGTCCTAGTCCTGTGACATTGTCACCGTGCTGCTGTTCCCATCAACCGACCAAACATGCTGCACAGTGCTACATCTAATGGAGTGCTGTACACATCATCAAACCCTTGTTATTATAAACAGCACAACACCTCAATGAATTAAAGGGAGAAACCTATTGGCTCTGTCTGGAACAAACCAGACCCACTCAAAATATATTAAGAAAGTAGCCTAGACCCTACCTTTTTCTTGTTTAAAAGGTGAATGTCAGGTGCTGTGCTCCAGATGCAATTCGAACAGTCAACTTACTTGATGTTAAGCAAAACACAATGTAATCAAATGCTGTATAGGTAGCTCTGCTATGACATGTGTTTCATTAACACGAATTGGCTATAATGTGATTGATGAATAGTGCAGTCTGTATAACGTGAACTTTCTGCTGTACAGGTATAGCACTTTCTATAGCGATTTCCCTGTAACGTGATTTTCTATAGCGCGAGGTCACACAAGAATGCAACTATTGCATCATGGGAGAACTACCTGTAGTTAAAATACAACGAAAGAATATCTTAACTCTATCAAAAACTTAGCAGAATAATACATACAGTAACTGTTACTAATTAATTGTTCCAACCCATAAACACACCCTTGGTAAAAGGCAAATTCAGAAAACTGATTTTTGTCTCACATGCAATCCAGCAGCCCAGGGAGAGAAGCCACAGCTTTTGGCTGTAATCGAGAGAGGAAAAAATAGCTTCCACTTCTTCAAGACTCCAACAGCAACTGCACATCCCTGGTTCTGAGGGTGGGAGTTTGACCACACCCTTTCAGGCTGCTTCTATTGTTCAGCTTTTTAAAAAAGCCCAAGACTTCACAAAAACCAAAAGAACTGCGGATGCTGTAAATTAGGAACAAAAACAAAGTTGCTGGAAAAGCTCAGCAGGTCTGGCGGCATCTGTGAAGGAAAAAAAAAGAGTTAATGTCTCGGGTCCGGTAAGGGTCACCCAACCGGAAACGTTAACTCTGTTTTTGCCTTCACAGGTGCTGCCAGACCTGCTGAGCTTTTCCAGCAACTTTGATTTTGTTCCAAAACTTCACAAGTTGTTTGCCTTCTCATAGACTGCTCAGTTCCTGTCCGTCAATCTAAATGGAATCAGGGCAAAACACACTTCTTAAAGTCACAGCATTGGCACAAAATAATCTCTTGTTTAATGCTTCATTACATGAAGCCAGATAGAAGAGTTCAAATTGCCAATCTCCTCATCCTGTTTAAATAAAGCTCAAATATATTGACTCAGAGTCCATTGTCAGAGATCAAAAGAACAAAGCACTTTATTGGTCTCAGATAACAAGGTGTAGCGCTGGATGAACACAGCAGGCCAAGCAGCATCAGGGGAGCAGGAAAGCTGACGTTTCGGGCCTAGATCTGAAGAAGGGCCTAGGCCCGAAACGTCAGCCTTCCTGCTCCTCTGATGCTGCTTGGCCTGCTGTGTTCATCCAGCTCTACACCTCGTTATCTCAGATTTTCCAGCATCTGCAGTTCCTACTATCTCTGATACTACTTTATTAGTCTCAATTGGCTTCCAATCCGGCTTATGTGAACAAGTTAAAACACCAGTTGCTAAAAGAAGAGCTGCTTAGTAATTAGTCACACTTAGGTTCACAATTTAGGAACTTCTTTGTGAAGAGTGCGTATGTGTGAATTTGACCATTGGAAGTTTAATCTGATAGAACTTTGTGCAGCTTATTCTGTTTCTTCACTTTTTCAGAACAGTGTAACCTTGGACCCAGAAGTGAGATCAGCCTTACTGAGTGAAGTTCTGACCCGTGCTGAGCCAATTATTTCCAGTTCAAATGAAACAGAACTCGAGACCTGGCTTGGAACTAGGCTTCAGTTGCTGATACCGGCACTGAACAGAAATTTGGTCGATTTAATTCTGACGAATACAAGTTGCCGTGGAGCTCAAATCATGTGCGTTCTGAATATTGGATTTTAAATTATTGTTCTACTGCTTTTATACATTTAAAACATTGCCAATTAGTTAATGATTTTGTTCTACATTATGTCATAAAGTAATTCAACCATATTATAGCTTTTAAAAGTATCTAAATATTGCTTTTCATCTGATTTTGGTCAGTGCTCCAAAGATTGTTACACCTCTTGCATGCAGCTGTTATTCTTAATATTAAACAAAATAATGACTGAGTTCCTTGGAGCTCAAAAGGAATAGCAATTTGAAGTTACGACTCAATAATTCCCTTCATGGCGAGCTGAGCACAGTGTTATGGATAGCATCCAAGTGGACAACAAGCACCACCCAATCAGAAGTTTAGAGAACTGGCGTAGAGACAGGCCAGCTCTGTTCAGTGCACAGTTATAGAGCACAGACGCAGAAGCCTTGCAGTGGTAAGTTCCCACCCATCGAAATGAAGGCACAAAAAGGCAATCCATTATAATGTTAGTGACAGAATGATCGGAAAGACTGTATTTTTATTAGCATTCAAATGCAACTTAAATGCAGGCTCAGACTTAAATTCCGCCTTTCACAACCACACGACATCCCAAAGTACTTTACAACCAATTGAGTAATGTTGAAGTGCAGTCACTGTCATGTGGCAGGAAATGTGGTAGCCAGTTTGCCCACAACAAGATGCCACAAGCAGCATTATTGATTGAGCAATCAATATTAACCGGGCTACTTTCGGTGCCTCCACCGCTCTTTTTCACTATAATGCCAGGCGGTTTTTAATATCCACCTTAAAAAATAAAAGGGCCTTAGTTTAATATCACATTCAAGAAATGGAAGCTCCCAATAGATTGATAGAGTTGTAGAGTTGTACAGCACAGAAACACACCCTTCGGTACAACTCGCCCATGCCAACCAGATATCCTAAATTAATCTAGTCCCATTTGCGAGCACTTGGGTCATATCCCTCTAACCTTTTCCTAATCATATTCCCATCCAGATGCCAAATAAATGTTGTAATTGTACCAGTCTCCACCACCTCCTCAGGCAGCTCATTTCATACACGCACTACCCTCTGTATGAAAATGTTGCCCCTGAGGTCTGTTTTAAATCTTTCCCCTCTCACCTTAAACCTATGCCACCCAGTTTTGGGCTCCCCAACAGCACTCGCTCTGTAATGTACTAGAATATCAGCGTGAATTTTTGTGTCCAAGTCCAAGGAGTGGGATTTGAATCCTCAACCTTCTGACTGAAGAGATGAGAATGTTATTCTCTGACCTGTTTTGTTGAATGGAGTCCAAGCAGAGAATATTGGGATGTAGCTGTCTGAAGTCTCGACTGACCATCTTGGCTAAAGTCAGCAAGGAACATAATGACCAAGCGGCCTTAAAAGATGAGGGAAAATGTGAATTAAAGTCTTTTTCTTTAAAATAATTGCAAAAACTTTTCAACTTTATGCGTTGGATGGGGTCTTCCTCTCACCGAATTGAGGAGTGTGGCGTGCATGGTCATCTCACCATCGTTTTGCATGTTGGGAAATGATACTATTAACCTGCGACTGGAAATGTTGGTTTAGTTAGCTGGCAGAGTGGGAGATAATTGTGACTTGGCTGAATAGACCTTATTGATTCAGCCTTGCACAATCAGTATCTCCTCCAGGCTGAAGGGGTCTGATCAATAAAAAGCCTAATAATCATATTTTTAATTTTTTTTTAGAATACGCACCCTGAATGCACGGATCTCTGAATTTACGACTGACGTTCAGCAGCAACTGTACAACGGCATCAGAACCTATCTGCGCAAAGGTATTTGGCTACGGTTTTATCCTGTATAGTCAGTTTTTAAGGTTGGAATGCCAGTGCATGTGGACTTTTATAACACATGCCTTTCCACAATTACCTTCCCTATAAATGCAGCAGCTGCGTGGATTCTTATAACAATGTGACTTGGGTAGGAGCTAGAAGTTGCAACATATTCTGGCACTGAACCATCTAAAAATCCTTTCTGTGCTCACTCTTCCCTTAAAAATGGAAGGGACAGTGCAGAAAACCTTCCTGGTGATGCTCAATTCTTGATCTATACACTAACCTTGTAGTTTAATTCTCCAACGTCTTAAATTTGCTAAGCACATCACACCTTATTTGGTTATTCCCCATTCTGTGTTAAGATTACTTCCCACAGCTGTGTACACTTATCAACACTTGGAGCTCCATGAACTCCAGAAGTTGCAATCTCCAAACCCAAAGAAGGTGGAATCGCCAAGCATTCTGAGGAAAATTCAATGATGTTATGTTTCATGAGAGATTCCTTAATACCGAAGAAAATCCTGGTTTCAAGCTGATTACACTTCCTCTCTTTACCCAGGTCCTAAACCAAGATGTTATAATGTGAATGATCCAGCTCTGAATTCAACTGCTTGGTTTGCCAATTACTTCGGCAAATTTCTGAAATATACAAGTATAGGTGACCTTACAATGCTCACTGACAATGCCACAGTATGTATAACTATGTTATTTTGTAGCTTGATTTACTTTCCTTTCTTGCTTTTCATTACAGTGTTTCTCTCTCTCTTTTGACAACCGCTTAATTTATAGTTGCATTTTTTGAATTAAAAATAAACTGTTGATAATTCCTTTGAGGATCTAATTTAGCATAACAAAAGAAGTGAAGAGTTAGCTTGTCTCTTAATCTTATCTCCTTAAATATATTTACTATAAAAATCCTACCACCTATTAACGCCTACTTTCTACAGTTACAGATATTTGCCGCCAACCAGGAAAATCTAATTCTTTTGAACAGTATTGAGCTTCCTGAAGATGTCCAGAGGTTTTACGCAAATGCGCTGTTCAAAAATATAGCCTTTAATGCATCAAGGTATATGTTGTTTATAATTTGCAGAATAGTAAAACCACTGACATCTCATGACTGGGACTAAAACAGACCTGCATACTCAAATTATTATTTAGTTTCCTAACTTGAGGAAGGCATGAAAGGATTTATTGCCTTTCATTGTTCATCCATAGGACGTGAGTATCACTGTCCATGTCAGCATTTACTATCCATCCCTAATTACCCTTTGAGAAGCAGGTAGTGAGATGCCACCTTGACCCACTGTAGTCCATGTGGTAAAGTTAAACCCACAATGCTGTTAGGGAAGCAATTCCAGGATGTTCACACAGACAGTGAAGGAACAGCGATATATTTTCACATCAGGATGGTGTATGGCTTGGAGGTGAATTTGTGTGGTGGTGTTCTCGTGAGTCTGCTGTCCTTGACGTTTTAGACTGTAAATATTATTGGTTTGGAAAGTGCTGTTGAAGGACGAACTTGAACATTCATTGAGTACTTCTTTTCGATGCACACTGCTGTGCCTTACATATAGACTGTTTTGTCTTGATTGGTATCAAACTTCTTGACTGTTGTTGGTGCTCTTCCCATCCAGGCAAGCAGGGAATAGTCAATCAAACCATATATATTAAATTTCCATTCAGTGGTTACTCCTAGTATGTTGATGACGGAATAGAAACGCTGCTGAGTGTGGTTAGCTCAGTTGACTGAGCTATTTCTGAAGAAGGGTCTAGGCCCAAAACATCAGCCTTCCTGCTCCTCTGATGCTGCTTGGCCTGCTGTGTACATCCAGCTCTACACCTTGTTATCTCAGTTGGCTGGACGGCTGGTTTGTGATTTATAGTGATGCCAACAGCCTGGGCTCAATTCCTGCACCAACTGAGGTTACCTTGAAAGGCTCTCCTCAACCTCTCCCCTTGGCTGAGGTGTGGTGACCCTCAAGTTAAACCACCGCCAGTCATCTGTCTCTAAGGACTGTGGTGACTTTAATTATAAAAGTGCGGCCAGATCATTGATATAATATTTTACTGCATGTTTATTGTAAAATTTGAAGCTAGTGATTGAGTTTAATATCGGAATCAAATGTAAATTGCATTACTGCTGCCAACTATTTTTATTAAAACTATGGTTCAGAAGGCCATGTGACTGACAATATCATCGCCAGCCCTTTGGCATTGCTATGCACTTATTTTAATTCCCACTGACCTTACCCTTTCAGATGTTTAAGATTTTGAAATTTCAACATCTTCCTTCCAATCCTGTTTTAGCTACTCCATGCTCTAACAACACACTCTGTATAAAAGAAAAGTCTTAGAATTGCTTGTTCTTTTTATGGTGATTTCTATTTATGCCCTCTAGCTAACAACTCATCAACTATTGAAATTACTTATTCTATTACACCTCATCAACACCCTTCATTATTTTAACTATATCCAAATAATCTGTTCTTAACTATCTTTGTTCTAATTTAAATATTAACATGACCCCTCCTTTGTAAATATATCAGATGGCTGTTGTAATTTTTTCTTCCAGTTCAAAGCCTATTGTGCAGTTTTTGATAGTCTTTAAGGCAAAGCAGTACAGCAATTGAAGAGTACATATGTTTTTTTAATGATACCAGAGATCTACTACTCACAACAATATTTACATTGTTAATTTAATGCGCTTTATGATGTGTTGCATATCTAACTGTATCAGCACAATGAATTCTGATTGCTATTGATTTTCTCCATTTTTATACAGTGTTCCTGACAGCTTGGTCTGCTTTATTGTTGGCACCCCAACAGTTCAATCTTTAACAGCGCAGCAGGCTGAAATTGTACTTAAGAAAGCAAACAGAGCCTGTCAAAATCTTAGCGCAAACAGAACAACACCAACAGATGAACAACTGCAGGTAGGCATTCCCAACCTGGGGGAAAGAGAGCTATTCTATCTTTGCAAGTTTGGGATATGGTAGGACTTCTGCAATGAGCAAATTTCCGAGCTTCTGTGTCATATTCTTCATTTTGGGGGCTCCCCCTCCCCAGCCAGTGGGGTAAAGCTTGGTTGCAGCAACTTTAAATCCAAGTATAAACTTTGACTTTGGTGCCTATAGGTACATAATTGATTGATTTTAAATAGCCAACGTACTGCCTATAGCAATTCTGGACATTTGGTACAAGCAAATCTTTATTGCATCAACTACAGAGAATTGTGAACATCACACAAGCCAACCTTCTGTCCATTGACTCCGTCTATACTTCTCACTGCCTTGGAAAACAGCCAACATCCTCAAAGACCCCTCCTCCTCGGTTATAATACTTCTTCTGTCAGGCAAAAGATACAAAAGCTTAAACACGTACCAACAGATTCAAGAGCAGCTTCTTCCCCGCTGTTATTAGTCTTTTGAACAGACCTCTCAAATTTCAAATCTAACCTTGATCTTGTTCTTATTGCACCTTCTCTGTAGCCATAACTTTGTATTCTTCGCTCTGTTCTATTCCCCAATGCACTTTGTATAGTATGATATGCCCCTACTGCGCACAAAACAAAACTTTTCACTGTACCTAGGTACATGTGACAATAATAAATCAAATAAATTCATTGCTAAGGCACAAATGTAACAAGGTATGTACAAACGATGTCATATCTGTATTTTATATTACCTGGGGCATTTACTATTGCAACCAGTCTACATTACGCAATAGCAATCTCAGAAATGGTAGAGCAAACAGGGAACTGGCTGATTATTCCCCATTGTATTCTCTGCCTAATTCTGTCGATGTAAAATCTAAGCTTTGTTTTATTTGATTGTATTCTGTGCTGTTGCTTCACTGTTAGATGTCTGACATTAATATTTATGACACAGACTGTGCTTCAACTAAACGCCAAAAAGACCAAAATTTTTGTTTTCAGACCTTGCCAATATATCACACTTGCTATTGATGCCTTCTCCCTTTGAGTACATTCTCAAGCTGAACCAGAATACACATCTCTTCATCATTTGAACCAACCCAGGCTAAGTTCCAAATCTTGCTTTCTATTCACTAGCAAAACCTGCGTTCAGTTCCTCACTTCCTGATCTGAGTTATGCAATGCCCTCCATGTGACTCCCCAACTTCCGTGATGAAATATTCTAACCTGCAACTTGTGTCACACTTAGCCCCACACACCTTTTGTCCTTCCCCTTCCATGCTGACCCACATTGATTGAATTTAAATCCATGCTCTTGTTTAGACATCCAACTATACCTCTGCATCCTTGCCTCTTCCTTGTCCATCTCATCATGTAACTCCATGTTTGTCAGTAGACCCTTTGGAACTCTCTCCTCAGACCCTTTCCACCTCTCTACCTCATTCATTGATTTTTAAAGACTTCTCAAAACTTCCCTTCACCCCAAGCTTTTGGTAAAATCTCCCAAACCTGTAAGTTGTTGTTGTTTGGTAAGATCACATCCTCAAGAAGAATCCTCCAGAAAACACTGATGGTTGTATTTTCTTGCAGTTTGCAGTTTCCCTTGTGAGTAAAATTGACAGCTTTACCCCTGAGACTCTCCGTAACCTCGGCCAATCAGCTGCTGGACTGTCAACCACACAAATTAATAATATCAGTGACAACGATATCTTAGAATCCCTGGACTCTCTGAGTAAAGTCAATGGCTGGACCACGGGAAGTGTGTTTGCATTGGTCAGGAAGTTGATCAATACCAGATTTCAGGTAAGATTGCAAATAAATCAAAGGAAAGCCTTCCTTAGAAATTAATTAACAAAATAGGACAGATAACTTGTTTCAAGTTAGGAGTAGTGTGTATTAGAATCACATTGTGGAAATCTGCTGGAGTACAACGAATAATGTGCTGTCCATTAAAATTAATGGATGGAAAGCTAGAACTGTGTAGTTTTCCATTGTGCATCCCTCTGAGTTCCATCCTGTTTGGGACCATAGATCCTTGTTTATATCAGAAGAGATTGCATGTCATTGCTAATTCACATATTACTCTGATTCATGCTGGCGACTGCAATTCAGAATTGCTACCATGTCAAATTTTGCCTCAATAAATTAAAAGCGCAAGACTGGAAGATACCTAGGCCCAAATCCCATTCCAGTTCAATAACACTTAAATTGAGGCACCATATTTGACAAATGATTTGAAAAAATGCTCCAGCATGGTCATGTGTCCCATGTAGGTATCATAATAAGGCCGTTGAAGGGATAACAGCCAAAAGAACAGAATTTGCCATGCCTAATCATGCTTGATCTTCTACTTAATAGGTTAACAACGCTACCAACCTCTTGAAAATGGGAACCTTGGTATCTGGGCTTTCAAGTGATGAAATAACGAATGTCAATAACAGTGTGCTCGTCACTGCTGTCAAAGACAGTACCTTTGTAGAAAATATATTGCTTGCTCCTGAACCTGTTCAAGTACTTCTTGTCCAAAAGGTAAGTGGCCAATAAATTTGTGGGATAAAAGTAGTTATTTCCCTTTACTTTTCAGAACATAGAGCAGCTTCTGAATTTAGAGTTATCCTCGTAGACAACAAGATTTAGATTTCCCGAGTAAAGTCTTCGCTGTCAGTTAAATTCAATGCTTTGAAGACATTGAAGCAAAACTGCTTGACTTCTGTAACTATTTCATTGGAATCCTTTTCACTGTAACTCCACCAGCACTAGCTGGACCTGTCTATTAAAAGACCAATGGTGGAGGAAGGGCTGAAGCTGGTATGTCCATCTTGCAAGTCTCTCACATCTTAGTTGGGCAATAGATTGTCAGCATCTACCATTTCAAGTAATAGGAGTTGTTTGAGGCCAGGAAATGGCACAGGTTTGACAGGGTGAAGGAATGTTCAATCCCTCAAGTGGAACTAGCCCAATAAGCCTATCACAATTCTACCCAATAGATCCAAAGTATGGCATAGTTGAGTTCAAATTGGATGTCCAGTGAGGGGCATTTAAATCAAGGATGCTCCTTTTGATGGCCTCAGAGATTTTAGCAGAGTTGATGGATTTCAACCAGCCGCATACCACATTCCACACTCCAGTTTTTGCCCCATTGTTTCCCTTCCTAAATAAGATACCTTTTCCAAATCTGTACAGATGCTGAGGATCCCAAAATGCTGCCAGCACTTATTGGAATACTACAGACATATTTCATGTAAATGCGTTCATGATCTTCTGATTATGTGCTAGTTGTACATCTTGCTGTTGAGAAATTTCAACTGTACTTTCCTCATCAGTATATCAGATGTGTTTCTTTGGCATAAATTGGTTTGGCTATTCCATCATCAATAAGACAGCCATGGTTAGTGCTGTATATAGTAAGTGCGGACTGCACACAACAAAGGAAATGCAAAGGGGTCATTGCTGTTCACCCATCTATTGTTCACCTTACTCATGAAAAAGAAAAGCCTTGTAACTAGATCAGGACACTACAGGCGCTCTCCTTGAAGAAGTGAGGCCAATCATCCTCATTCCAACTCTGCCCATTATTTCTTTTGCGTGACATAACTTTTCCCTTGAGTGGACTGCTCATTTGTCACTACTCTCCTCTCCCCAGCCTCTCCCAATTGTTTACCTATTTATTAAATATTACAATAGTGCTCGATTCTCTGGCCATACTTTTGACATGATTTCCCATAGAAATCCTTGAATTAAACAGCTTGTGTGGTGGAATCTTCGAGTCTGTGAATGGTTGAAGAATTGATGAGATTCCGAGTTCACTTAAGTGCAAATGTTGGTTACCAGAGTACAATTAATGAAAGCTTCATTGTTTTTATTTTGAGATGGAACTAGATTTAAATTGTGGAATTTTACTGAGGCTAATGTCTTGGTGTTAGTTGTACAACTGAAATATTGTGGAGGTAGAAAATTTTTTTTGTGAAAAACACCAAATATCTAACTTACAGAAAAATATCTAGCCCTTCTTCCTACTCTGAAATTGAAACCACGAATGCTGTTGGGACTAATTTATACATCTAGCTCAACGCTTCCCAAACTTTTCCCACCGTGAATCCATGTCAAAGCTTAAATTGTCATGAACTCTTAATGGAGTGGGGGGAGAGGGCCTATGATAGTACATTGAGGAGGTTCATTGCTGTCTTTCAGCACACCATCACAAAATTGCAGCTTGTGGCTCCAAAACCCACTTTGAAATGACCTGTGTAGGCTTTATGAGTAGAGCTTTGAATTCCCATACCAGTAAGGAGGCTGCATGTACAATCTGCAGCTGATGGAAAAAAATGACCAACACTTTCCTGTGACTGTTTGGATCTACTAATGTCAAAAGCAGAACATCACAGGCCAAACCTGGAGATGGTAAGAACTGCAGATGCTGGAGTCTGAGATAACACAGTGTGGAGCTGGAGGAACACAGCAGGCCAGGCAGCATCAGAGGAGCAGGAAAGTTGACGTTTCGGGTCGGGACCCTGCTTCAGAAAAATTTTTCTGCTGTGTTCCTCCAGCTCCACACTGTGTTATCACAGGCCAAACCTGCCTCTGTTCCTTGAAGGGCTTGCCCTGTGTGAATATTGTATGTAACAAAAGAACTTGGATAATTCTGTCTTATTTAACTAATCTTACTTTAGGGAGGAGGTTCTACTTTGGATGGCTTTCAGTTTTGCTACTTAATGATTTTCACTGGAGCATAGGAGGTTGAGAGGTGACCTTGTAAAGGTTTATAAAATCATGAGGGTTATAGATAAGGTGAATGGCAGGAGTCATTTCCCTAGGGGGATTTCAAGACTAAGGGGCATATTTTTAAGATGAGAAGAGAACGATTTAATAAAAGGCATGAGAGGCAAATTTTTTTGCACATAGTGATTTGTGAGTGGAATAAATATCCAGAGGAAGTGGTGGATGTGGATTAAAAGGAAATGCTTGGAGGGATATGAGCCCAGCAGGCTGGTGGAACTAGTTTAGTTTGGGATTATGTCCAAAATGAATCAAAAAAAATCCTTCAGGTTCAGGAAGATCTGGAGCAATCCATTTTTTAAAACTTCTGCTTTCTTTCATTCTTATTAAATGTTTTTCATATTTTGTTTCCTCTTTAGGTTATTTCATCTTCGAATAACCCCACTACAGCTATACAGAGAGTTCCCGATCAGCTTGCATCCAAGATATTTTTGCCTCGACTGATTTCTAAAGATATCAGTCTGCCTCTTGTGAATAATAAACAGTGGAAACCTGAACAAGTAAGGTCTTGAATTGCTTGATGGCACCTCCTCAAATAAAATCTCAGATCATTTGTAAGATTTCACGTTTATCCAGATGCAAATAACCAATGTTGTGGAGTAGACAACTTTTCCGCTTTTGAAAACTGTGCTAACATCGACTGAAGCATAGCGCAGGCTAAATTAAAGTAAACTCAGCCTCCAACAAGCAGCATTTATTTCACCAGAACTTTTGATTTTAGGTTTATTGCCTGCGAGAATTGTTATAAACTCTGAGTGAGCTTATTAACAAAGGGCCAGCTGATTGACTTCGGGCCAAAGTGTATTCAGCTTTGAGCTGAATACCCACGGCTCTTAGAAAGAGGTTTGCTGATTACAGGATTTGGGTCTGTTGTTCTCTTACTTCAATAGTTAATATAAAGCATAAAACAGTATGGCACAGGAACAGGCCCTTCAACCCATCATGTCTGTACTGACCGCGATGCCATTTAAACTAATCCCACCTGTCTGCACATGGTCCATATCCCCCTACTCTCTGCCTGTTCATGTGTCTGTCTAAATGCCACTTCAACATTCCCATCATATCTGCTTCTCCCACTTTCCCTGGCAGCAAGTTCCAGGCATCTACCACCGTCTGTATGAGAAAACCTGCCTTACACATCTCCTTTAAACATTCCCGCTCTCACTTTAAACCTGTGCCCCTAATATTTGACATTGCCACCCTGGGAAATAAATTCCAACTCTCCACCTTATCCACACCTCTCGTAACTTTACATACTTCAATCACACCTCAGCCTCCGACGCTCAAGCGAAACAATCCAAGTTTGTCCAATCTCACCTTATAGTTAATACACTCTAATATAGGCAACATTCTTTGCACCCTCTTCCTATAGTATGGCGACTAGAACTGCACACAATATTCCTAAGGCGACCGAACTAAAATCTTCTACAGCTGCAACATGATTTGCCAACTTTGATACTCAATGCACTGACCAATGAGGGCAAGCAATGCCGTATGCCATCTTTACCAACTTATCCACTTGTGATGCCACTTTCAGGACCTGCACCCCAAGATTTCTCTGTATATCAATATCAAGGCCATTTAGTGTGTACTTCACTCTTGCATTTGACCTCTCACAATGCATCACCTCACACTTGTCTGGATTGAACTCCATCTGCCATTTCTCTGCCCAACTTTCCAACTGACCTATTTCCTGCTATATCCATTGATATACTAGCCACAACTAAACCAATTTTTGCCAATACAGAATGGAGCTGGAGGAACACAGCAGGTCAGGCAGCATCAGTGGAGCAGGAAAGTTGACATTTTGGGTTTACACCCTTCCAATTTTTGTGTTGTTTGCAAGCTTACCAATCAGATCACCTGGATTTTCATCCAAATCATTTATAAGTACTACAGACAACAGAGGTTCCAGCACTGATCCTTATGGATCACCACTGGTCACAGATGTCCATCAGAAAAACAGCCCTCCACAACATCCTCTGTCTCCTATCACCGAGCCAACTTTGTATCCGACTTCCCAACTCACCATGGATCCTGTGTGATTTAATCTTCTGAACCATGAGGGACCTTGTCCAGTGCTTTAGTAAAGTCCACATAGACAACATCCACCACCCAACCTTCATCAATCACCTTTGTCACTTCCTCAAAAAACTCAATCATGTTTGTGAGCCAAGACGTCACCTACACAAAGCTATGCTGACAATCCCTAATACATCCATTCTTTTCCAAAAGCGAGTACTTTAATGTTACCTGTCCTCCTCAGCAAAGCCACATGCTCGCCAAAACCTGCACTTTGACCTCAACTGCAGCACTTCAACCTCACTGCAGAAGCTCTGCTGTTTCTACTCCACAACCAAATTTTCTAACAACCCCTTGCTCTGTCTCTGTTTTATATTCGAGAAGGAGGGAGGGAAACACTACAGCAGTGTAACGTTTAGGGCTTCACTCTTCTCTGGCGCCAGATCCTCTGTGGTCCCCTTCTCAGTTGAAGTGAGCAAGCCATCTTCTCCCAGAATCCTCCTCAGTCGTTTCTCACTCCCGCCCTTTCCATTTCAATATAATTAAAAAAGACAGCATGGTGCTGATTTGGCATTCTGTTATAAACTTGAAAATTTTTGCTTGAGAATAGTAGAGTTGCTGAAGCCTAACAATTTACTAACTTCTTCTTGTGCCTTAATAGTAGATCTGTCACAAAGCAATTCCTAATTGTATCCTGATAGACTCTGAAAAGTGGCTAAACCATAATACATTGCACATAGATCCACTCATTATTCTACAGCATGTCTGGAAAAAGAATGTACCTGTTCACAGCCAGCTGTAGTGCAGTAAACCAGTTTTGCTGACATTTGCAATTTTGCTCATGATATGTAGATGTTGTACTTTTGTTTTAAAGCGTGAAATTTGTAATGGTCAAAAGGAGAGAAAGCTATTCTTGGATTCCTGTGAATTATGTACAATAAAATTCTCATGATGTGGAGGTGCCGGTGTTGGACTGGGGTGGACAAAGTCTGAAGTCACACGACACCAGGTTATAGTCCAACAGGTTTATTTGAAAACACAAGCTTTCAGAGCGCTGCTCCTTTGTCAGCTGATCTCACTTCACCTGATGAAGGAGCAGTGCTCCGAAAGCTTGTGATTTCAAAAAAAACCTGTTGGAATATAACCTGGTGTCATGTGACTTCTGACCAAAATTATCCATAATCAATATATTGCTCAAGTTGTGAGTGGTACCAATGCTGCAAAGTATTTCTTAATGGTTTTCGTTGAATAATTATGACTTAATTTTGTCATTTAAGTGAATAGCAACTGCTCCTAATGAACTAATGTTCATGGAAACAGATGTACAGTAAATGATTATGACTTCTTTTATAGGCCGCTGTGTTCTTTGGCACTTTGGTGGAAAATTCGACCATCAATTTTGATGAGTAAGTATTTTATCCTCAAGTGCATTGAAGTAAATTTTCACAGAATGTTGCTAACTTTATGTTAAAGGAAATAGCTGGTCAGAAATTTGATGCCAATTATAAAATAATATCCTTTTAAGATTCTGTCCAGAGTATATGCAAAAAAGTCATGCTTCATATCTTTGGATTAAATTCTGTTCACTCTGTAAATATTAATAACTTTTAGTTCCCGTATTGTGTCCTGGATTTGGTAAAGCAATTAAAATAGATCTTACATGGAGTAGAATTAACTTTTTGTTGTTAGATTACAAGGACATGAATCACACATTGTAAAAGTCATTTTTAAAAGTTGTAATCTACATAGAATGTCAGAGGAAAAGCATGCCATTATGTGCAGAGATAATAGGAACTGCCGATGCTGGAGAATCTGAGATAACAAGGTGTAGAGCTGGATGAACACAGGCCAATCAGCATCAGAGGAGCAGGAAAGCTGATGTTTCGGGTCTAGACCCTTCTTCGGAAAAAATCTGGAGGGTCTAGACCTGAAACGTCAGCTTTCCTGCTCCTCTGATGCTGCTTGGCCTGCTGTGTTCATCCAGCTCCACACCTTGTTATCTGCCATTATGTGCACCTGTTTTCTAAATGCGAGTTTGCGAAAATCTCATTGCAAACTTTAATGATGTTATTTCATGTTACAGTGTTTCAGCCTCTGTTCTGCAAGGTTTCAGTTGTGCAGCGGGAAATATCTTGAGCAGCAACCAATTCTTGAAATTTGCTCAAGCCACAAAGAGTAAGACTTCACTAAGCCAAGATCAGGTAAGGTAACTTTCAAATTAAACGCTTTGTTCATCTGTATAGCGTAGGAGGAAGTGACGTACTGTTATATCTGTGTGCAGACACAATGGGCTAAATGGCCTCCTTCAATTCCATAACAGATTCAGTGAAATGTATCCGACTTGTATGTACTGATCTGGGTCTGTAAGGAAAACTGTCAGTCTGTACCTGTTGATATCAAGCTGTGTTGCATGAGCAATGAAGTCATTACTAGTTCACATCAAAGTCTTTCATGCACTACTTTCACAAAAGCGTTCCATCAATTTATTTTTGGAAGATTATTGTCTATTTAAACACAATAGTCAAAAGAATTTTTAGTTAACAAGCTAATGGGTTCATTTCTAATCCTTTTTTAAATTTCTTGCTCATTTAACTAAAAATTGCAAGGCTCTATATTCAATCCAAATTCTGTTTGAAATCAACTGAAAATCATGAATGTTCTTAAATTACCATTTCTATTTGATGCACTTCTGCAACCGTAATATAAAACTAAACACCCTGCAAGTTCATAGCTATGAGCAGCTATTGTAGTCCTTCGATCCATCTGCCTTTTGGAAACAGAATAAAGGCTTTTAAACCTATTCATTGCATATAATCAAAGGGCGGAACTTTCCACTCCCTTCAGCAGTCTGGGCAATAAGGAGCAATGTAGAAAATGCAGCAAAACTGAAAAAAATCAATCTCGCGGTTGAGAAAAATACTTCCAATTTTGCTCTTAAAACCTAAATGGCAAATTCAGGTAGTATCTCATGAGCATGACTACCTCATTTCCATTGCATTTCCATCATAATAGCCCAGATCACTTCATTTTTATGTAATTTTCAATTCTCCACAGTTTCCCTGAGAAACTGAACAGTGCCAGTTTCCAATATGAACGTCAGAGGCTGTACCTGGTGTCAGCAGCTCAGCGCTTGCTTCTCTGGGCCCACAGCCAATTCTGTCTTCAAGTATGCTCCATAGACACCATCCACCTCCACTCTTTGTCCAAACAAGTTTGCATCAGTAAATCACCACCCTCACTTCATCACCAGGCCTGGTCTTGAACCAACTCATATACCAATTTAATTCTTCAGGATTTTAGTTTGGGACTGAGGGACGGCTGGAACATTCATGTTTCTGCCAGGTGTTGTTGTGCTCAGATAGACACGCGCACAGACACACACACGCGCACAGACACATGCACACACAGACACACACGCACACAGACACACACGCGCACACACATTCACACACACATATACACATACAGACACACATGCCGACACATGCACAGACACAGACATGGACACACACATGCACTCACATCGACAAACGCGGAGACACGCGCAGACACAGACACGGTCACACACAGACACACATGTACAGACACAACCATACATACACACACAGACACAGACGCAGATACAGACACGGACACACGTAGACAAACCCATACGCAGACATACACCCGGACATGGACACACCATACACGCATACATGCGCAGACACGGACTCACACATGCAGACACATGTGCAGACACGGATATGGACACACACGCACGCAGACACGGATATACATACATATAGACAGACACATGCACAGACACTGACAGGGACAAGCACATACGTGTGCAGACATAATGCACACACACGCAGACACACACACAGACATGCACAGACGCGCACACGCACTACACACACACACATAGAACATGCACACACACACACATGCAACTTATACATGTACACACTTTGTATCTTATGGCACTTAGCTTAATTTCTTCGCACGCATTTTGCACAAACTAGTTTAGCAATCCTCTCTCCATGCTAATATATTACCCTGACACCATGGGCTCTTATCTTATTTAGTAGCGTTGTTTGTAGGACCTTATCAAACATCTTTGGGAGTGGAGAGGTGATCAGGTGTCCCCAGTGAGAGGGTAGGCAGAGCAAAGGGTTAGCAGTTTGGCAGGATGAGGTGGGTAGGAGTCATTCAGTGGATATAATACAAACAACGATGAGAGCTATAGTTTATGTACCTTTGGTGAAATGAATGTGCAGTGGTGCAGTTCAATTGAGTGCTGGCCTGTAGTGCAAGGCAGCAGAGCATTGGTGGTACTTGAGATTGAAGATCCCAGAAGATCGTTAAACAGTTCCTTCACTGCTGTGTATTGTGTTTTGCACAGGACGCTGCACTGAGAGAGCACTCTCTCAGTGCAAGCTGGCTGCCTTGGTGGCATGGCCTCCTTGTGAGGATACAGCACTGCCCTTCTCTCTACCACCCTGACCATCTGCACTCCCAGGCCCGTGTTGGGGTGAACCGAGGAGCTAACTTGTCTTTCTCAGCCCCTTCCTTTTTGGAAGAGCACATGTGAAGTGTTGCTCCAGGCTTGCAGTGTCTGAAGGAAATGGGTGTTGAAATATTGCAAAAGCAGCGAGGACTTTGCAAAGTCTCAGTGGCATTTCCATCTTACAGCTTACACATGATGCGCTTCAGTGAGGCTGGCTGCATTGTTTGGAGATGAAGAGTGGAGGGTTGCTGAGAAAAGTCACCATGTGCTGTGATGGAGCAGGCACCATCAATCTCAATCAAGAAATCACCTTGCTAAAATATGGGAAAATTCACCTCTTAATCATTATTTGTGGCATAAATTGACAAATAGGGCTGTCTTGATCTTAAATTTTACTTAATTGAATGAATGATTAGAATCCCTACAATGTGGAAACAGGCCATTCAGCCCCAACAAGTCCATACCGACTCTCCAAAGAGCATCTCAGCCAGACTCACTCCCCCATTCTATCCCTGTAACCCTGCATTTCCCACGGCTAATCCACCTAGCCTACACATCTCTGGACTGTGGGAGGAAACCGGAGCACCCGGAGGAAACCCACACAGACACGGGGAGAATGTGCAAACTCCACACAGACAGTCGCCCGAGGCTGGAATCAAACCTGGGTCCCTGGCGCTGTGAGGCAGCAGCGCTAACCACTGAGCCACCATGCTGCCCCAAATTAATTTGAATAAGATCCAGAGTATTATCATTAACAGTTTATGTTAACATTTACAAGAATTCTGGCTTCATGATCAATTAAAGTGCAAAAAATGCTGTCACATCGGAGTGAAATACTACAGATCGGAAATAAAAGCAGAACATGCTCGAGAAGCTCAGCAGGTCTGACAGTATCTGTAGAGAGACTTTTAAGTTTTGAATCCCATGACCCTTTATCAGAATGTTTGTTGCTAATTTTGCTTTATTACAAAATATACAGGCCAAGTTTTAACTCTGTGTAAGTGGCTGTTTTTTTTTTGAATAAGTTAAATTGTTGGCCTGTCTGTACAAGTGAAAGTCAATTTTTTTTTAAATTAGCCAGCAGTTAGAAAAGAAAAAAATTATTCATTATCTGCCCAAAATTTAACTTGTGTATTTAAATTGTTTTGGATAATGATGTGTAAACAGTATGTAAGAAAATATTATTTAACACTGAAAACTTGGCTCCTCAGCTGATTTGCATGGCCAGAAGGCTGAATTCCAGTGGAACACCAGGGAAGATTTCTGATTTGCCTGAGGATGTCTTGCTATTTTATGGGTAAGATACCAGGGGTTTTTTTCCTGTGTGCTTTCTCCTATATAAACTGATGATTAGAATCACAGTATCCCTACAGTGTGGGAGCAGGCTATTCGGCCCATTGAGTCTACACTGACCCTTTGTAGACCATCCCACCCTTTTCTTTGGAAAAAGCCCACCGGACTATAGGCCAATCAATACTCCAAGAAAAAAAAACCAAAAGAACTGCAGATGCTGTAAATCAGGAGCAAAAACAAAGTTGCTGGAAAAGCTCAGTGGGTCTGGCAGCATCTGTGGAGGAGAAAACAGAGTTAACGTTTCGGGTCCGGTGACCCTTCCTCAGAACTCTGCTTTCTCCTCCAAAGATGCTGCCGGACCTGCTGAGCTTTTCCAGCAACATTGTTTTTGTTCAATATTCCAAGAGTTGGGGATATTGGCTGACAGTTCTTTTGCTCAGCAGCGCCACCAAGGAGGCAGTGGCTGCTACCAGAATGGCACCCAGGACAGGCTTAGGATCACAGAATTACGTGATGGTGAGGAGGTTTCACAGGGCAAGGGCTCGTCAGAAGTGAGGTGCTGAGGGCTCAGCAACAAGGACAAGGGTTGACCCTGAGTTACCCTTCCTGATGCTGAATTCCTCATTCAGGCACTGCCTTTGAACAAAGGACCTTGCCGTGGAGATCACAACAATCCACAAAGGCTTGCACTCCACGTTTTAACACGTTTGCCCCCTGTTGAGTTATTGCCAGTGGAAAAAGAAAGACCTCCTTATTGGGCACTAATTGCCTCTCAAGCTACTAAATTGGGAGTGTGGTGGGAACACTGACTTTCCTCTACAGATGATGGGTGAAAGTCGTTACAGTACATGAGCGAGAAATAAAAGTTGTGTTTAATCCATCACGAAGTAGACTTTAACCTGGGAAATTCACCTTATTTTTTAGCCCTGAGACATTCCCAAATGAAAGCTGCGAAAGTTACTTCCGGGTAGTTGGACGTGCCAACATTAACATTTTACCTCAAGGATCAGCAAGAAGGCAGAATCTATTGAGAAATGCTCAAGCGTGCCTGGTGAGTTCAAATGCCTCTTCAAGACTATTTATATTAAAACAATGAGAGCAATGTTCATTGTACATGTTGTGATGGCCAGTACCTGTCTGCTATAGAAGATGAATGAGGCTATCCACCTAACTCACATCCCCTGTTTGTAAAGTAATGCTGTTTCTCGGTTACCAGTCGCAAAACTCTGCCTCTCATTATTGATGAGCATTTTAAATACTTTGCGAAGCAGTTAATAATTGTGTTTTGAGTTTTAAACCTCTTCTACAGCTTGCAAATGTGACATTGCCAGCTCCCTATTAAAGTAAACAGGACATTGCTGCTCTCACAGTTCAGGTTGCAATGCCTAGTGATATTATCGCTAAACAATTAATCCAGAAGCTCAGCTAATGTTTCGGGGACCCAGGTTCAAATCCTGGCACGGCAGATGGTGGAATTTGAATTCAGTAAAAGAATCTGGAATTAAGGGCATTATGATGACTATGAAACTATTGTTGATTGTTAGGGGAAAAAAGCCCATGTGGCCCACTAATGTCTCTTCAGGGAAGGAAACTGCCTTCCTTACCTTGTCTGGCCCACATGTGACTCCAGACCCACAGCAATGTAGTTGACTCTTAACTGCCCTCTGGTCAATCAGGGATGTACAATACATGCTGACCTAGCCAGAGATGCCAACATGCCATGAGTGAATAAATTGGAAAGTTCAACTTTGTATGTGGAAAAATAGTTCCTTGTTAATCTGCAACAGGGAACAAGTTGTTGAATGTTTTCTTATCATTAGTAAAGGTTAAGCACCAATGAACTCACTTTATTTTCCCTGGCATGTAAAAGATCTAAAATTAATCTTTACTAAGATGTTTTATTTCCCTACTTAAAAAGAAAGTCACGTTTACAGCAAGGGGAACACTCAAATGGTGATTGTCACTGCATTGAAATTAAAAGCTCAACCTAACGCCAAAATAATGGATATTAATGGATTATCTTCATCACTAGTATTGGGTTGCACAGAGAAATTTTAATCTTTGCAAGTTTGTTATTCAAAAGAGGCCAACATTCAGTTTTGTTTTAAGTTCAAAGCTGTGACGAGTTTTTGTTTCATCGTTTCCATGTACCAAATTGGTTTATAATGATTCAAATTCTTCTTCTCCTGAAAGAAAAATTTGCAAAGCGGGTTTTCATTCAGCCACAGAGAAGTCTTGAAATCAAGAAGCAACAATAAAATAAAAATCTATACTTCCTGCAGTTTGAAACTCAAACAGGATTCACTGGAAACATTCAATCCATTAGCTAGTATCTATGGAGAGCACAGACCTGTTCCAGTTTTGCCTGCAGTTTCTTCCTCAGGACCTGAAAATCATTTTAACTTTACTTGATGGAAGCAGGTCCACTGAACAAAGCAGAGCATTCATTCACAAAATGTTGTATGTGATGCTCGAGATGACTATTATTTATAAAAATCAGTTGGACATGAATAGTTTACAGTGTTGTCCCGGGAAGTTCCTTAGTTTGCAGTTGACTGAGTTGAGATTAGCCAGTGATTGGTTGGTGGTTGTTGTATTGGAAAGCTGAGCATGTTATACAGCAGGTCTGAAAGTGGTGTGGGTTATGTGCCCTCTTCTCCACAAATTTGCTTGTTGCTGAAGCAGTGAGATGTGAGCTCATGCCTATGAGGATAAATTCCCTCAGACCTTCCCCACAAAGCTGCCAAAACTGGTGACAATTTGGTAGAAACCCTGTTTGCACTTAATAATCAGCTTCAACTCATATCTGCAGGAGTTCCTTAGAGTAGTGTCCCCGACTCAGTCATCATAGGTTGGCTCAGTGTTTAGTACTGCTGTGTCACAGTACCAGGGATCTGGGTTCAATTCTAGCCTTGGCTGACCGTCTGTGTGGAATTTGCACATTCTCCCCTCGTCAGCGTGGGTTTCCTCCAGGTGCTCTGGTTTTCTCCCACAGTCCAAAGATGTGCAGATTAGGCAAATTGGTCATGCTAAATTGCCCAGGCTGGGTGGGTTAGCCATGGGAAATGCAAGGTTACAGGGATAAGGTAAGGTGATGTGTCTAAGTAGGATGCCATTTGGAGGGTTGGTATGAGTGTGATGGGCTGAATGGCCTGCTTCTACACTATGATTCTATGATTGTCAGCTGCCTAAAAATAACCCAAGACTTATACCAAGGAAAAGCGTTCCAAAGACTCGTGACTTCGTCTGAGAAAAATGTTTCCTCATCTCTCTTTTCAGTGGGTGACCGTTAATCCTTAAACATTCTTATTCTCAAATCTGCCTCTTACATTCCAATTAAGTTGGCTCTTGGTTTTCTAAACTCCAGCAGATGCAATCCTAACCTGTCCAACTTTTCCTCATAAGACAACCTGCCATTTCAGATACTATATGAGTAAGTCTTCTTTGAACAACTTCCAATGCACCTAAATCCTTAAACAAATAAGGAGACCAATACTATACTCTTGGTGTGGTCTCACCAATGACCCGTACCGCTGATCTTTATTCTTTCATGGGGTGTCCACCCTAAATGTCCTTGAACTAAGTGGCTTACTAGGGCCCTTCAGAGGGCAGTTAAGAATCAATGTCTTTGTGGGTCTGGAGTTGCACATAGGCTGGACCAGGTAAGGATGGCAGATTTCCTTCCCTGAAGGATATTCATGAACATGATAGCTTCTTATGACAAATGCTAATAGTTGCATGGTCCTCCTTGCTGGGACTAGTTTTGGATCCAGATTGATGAATTGACTTTAAATTCCACCAGCTGCCACAGTGAGATTTGAATTTGAGCATTACTGAGGTCATTAGTCCAGTGTTAGTACCGCTACGCCGCTATCTCCAACTTAAGAGATAACATTGTGAATCCAATGTGTGTCATCGTCAGATTTCAAATGCTAAGTCTGTTTCTCTGTCCTCGGGTGCTGCCAGACCTGCTGAGTATCTGCAGCAATTTCTATTTCCTCCACAAACCCCTGTTCGCTGTGTGTTTGGAATCTCAAGCATGTGAATCATGCTGGGTTCCAGGTAGTGAACCAAGTGATGACTTCGCCTTTCTTTGGAGTTAAATCTCCACAGTCTGTGGGACAATCCTGATTTACAGAATTCCCTGCACCTTTCCAACCTCCTCCACCCACTGCCAGCCAATTAGCTTAGTTAAACTCCCAGCAACCTTTCCTTTCTGCCAACAAAATTATAAATAGCCCAAAAAGGTCTAAGACGGACTGAGTAAAGAAAGGGAACATAAATGGAAAAAATGCTGCCTACTTCCTTATCATTTTTATTTGTATTCCTACTCTCAGAAATTTTCCAATGTAAATCTGTCAAAAGATAATGTGACAATCTTGAACAATTTGACCTGCGACTATGAGGGAGACATCAAAACAGCTGACGTTTCTATATTAGAAACTTTGAAAAATTGTGTCAATTACACGTCCAGTCGACGGGATGCTATTGACTTCCTGCTTAACCAAAATACCACATTTGGGTAAGTTTTAACAGTTCTCTTTTTCAGGGGGTACTGTCACTAATATAGGCAACGTGTACACTTCTTCTTCAGCTTCATGTTTGCTGTGTTTTGTTAAAGTATACCAATAGTTTGAAAATGCTTTTGCACTGAACATGGATAGCCCATTAACACTTAGATAACACAAATGAGTGAGAATTTAGTGTTTATTTTTATTAAAGTTTTGGAGTAATGTACTACAAGGGATTGCTTATATATAAAAGGCTTTATTTAAGTTAAAGAAGTTGTATAATTTACATTGTATTATGAGGGTAATGTGACTTTTTGTAACGTGTAATAATGGACTTTTATATTGCATTAAAAGAAATGAGTTTGTACGACAAATACCTAAGTTTAGTACAGTTTTGTTTTATGGCATTTGCATTTTTTAAGAAAAAAGCATCTTTGACCTATGTATTGTTCTACAATGTTTAACGTAATTTTATTTAAATAAAATGCCTTCACATATTAGCGTATATCTCGAGCTCTGCATTTTAATTTTGCAGTAATTTAATGCTGTTTTTTCATATGCCTTCAGTGATCCCACCACTTGGACAGAGTCCACTCTGGAAAATTTAGGGTCACTTGTCTTTGCTGTGAAGAGAAGTACATGGAACAAAGTCAGCAAGGTATAAAACTATTAAAAAAGCTTTGAAATTATGTTAACTGGATTAACACTTCTGTTTAAAATCTGATGGTTTGGCTGCTATAAATGCAATAAAAACCTTTGTATACGAGTATCCAACCTATAATATTTTAATTAGCTGATTTGCAGCATGTTTGTATGCTGGAATTTTCATTAAATGCACTCCAATTACTTGCTTTCCTGATGATCTGATGACCAGACCTCATTGCTCGACCTGCTATTGTCAGATTTTTTTTGTTGCGCCTCCCTTCATGTCACTGCCCATGGTATTGTTGTCCCATGACCAGGTTGAAACTGATTATCCATTGGTTTCTATTCTCTGTGAGGCAAAGGGGAGTCCTTCCATTAAGATGAGTAATGGAGGTTCCAATGTAGCATTTTTCCCATTTATTTTACCAGTCGTCAGATTTTGGGCTCATTAGTGAACGCGTGCCAAAATTCAGTTTCCAAGAATTCTCTTTATATTTTAATCTTCTCCTTATTTACTGTCACACATATTACTATGTCAGCATAATTAGTTGTTAGAGTCAAAGGTCTTACAGCACGTAAAAAAGTCAGCTTTGTCTATAACGGTTATCAAATGTCCACCTATTGTGATCCCATTTACCAGCATTTGGCCTGTTGCCTTGATTGCTCAGGCATTTCAATTGTTCATCAAAATAGTTTTTAAATGCCTTGAGTGTTCCTGCATCTAGCACCCTTTTAGGCAGTGAGGTCTAGATAGCCACAACACTCTGGGTAAACATTTGTTTCACCAAATCCCCTCCAAACCCTTCCACTCCTGATCTTAAAACTGAGTCCCTTGTTATTGTCTCCTCTATTAGGGGAAAACTTTTTCCCTATCTACCCTGTCCTTGGCACCCTGACTTTTGTATGTCTCAGTTGGAATCCTCTGCAGCCTTCTCTCTGCTCTAAGGAAAATAACTCCGGTGTATCTAGTCTCTCTTCATAAATGAATTGCTTCAGCACAGGCAATGTGCTGGTGAGTCTACTCTGCACCCTCTTGAGAGTAATGGGATCCTTACTATAGTAACATGACTAGAATTACACACATAGTACTCCAGCTGTGGCCTAACTAACATTATATACAGTGTTGTCTGTTCTTTAGCACAGGCTGGGTAAAATCTAAGTGCAGATATTAGCAACAATAGAAGGCTGGGCCATTTTGGTGTTGGATGTACCCAGAATGAAGCCATGAAAACACTTAATTTATTGAGAAAGTATTTTATTAAGGAAAAAGGTACCTTTTTTAATGATTATACAGGATGGGCAATCTGTGACACATTATTTTAGCTCCTGTGATAAGTGTAAACTTTATTAAGTTTACCAAGTCTTGTATTTTACATTTCTCAAGGCGGAAAGTTGGCTAATGGTGCTTTTCCCTTCACAGAATGTCATTTTGAAAGGCTTGCAACGATACGTGAGGAGACAATCTAGATATCAACTCCAACAAAAACAAAACCTTCTCTCAGAACTCTTCCTGCATACAAGATCAAGACGTGCAACTGGTATGTGATCATTTGTGTCATGCTCCCAATCCTGGTTGGAAACGTTCTTGCAGATTTAATCAATTGGCATTCTAATCACCTTACCTGTGACTGCATGATGATTGTTTCGTTATTGTACCTCTCTCCCTTTCTCCGTGGATTCAGATTCTTTGTGAAGGTTTGATGATTTTGGACTGTCGTGTTGACCTGCATTTAGACCATACACAGCATGACTAACAAGTGCAGACCAACCTAAGGGCTCAGTGTTTGACGCTTTACTTACTGACAGGACACATCATCGTGAATTCAGCTCAGCACCAGCGTTTCTAAGTAATCTGGGACACGATGTCAGTGAGAAAGAGAACTTCCATGGAATTGTAAAAAATGCTTCCAGTGGAGGCTAATTTGACACTGATGATTATGCCAGTGTTTTCTTTATTTCTGCAACTTCCCCATCATTTCATATTTCTCCTGTTACAGATATTTGTCCTATTAGCTTTTAAAGGGCGTTTAGTGTTGACTTCAATAGACATTTGCCATGAAAGATTCAGTGCTTTAATAGCTCTTAGTTCAAGTCTGTCCCATGAGGATTTTAACCTCTCTCCCCTAATTCCCCATTTGCTGTTTATTGAAAACAGTATGTGATTGCTGACCCAGAGTACATTCCCAAGGTTTCACATCATCCTCTACTGCTGGGTCCTCTGTTGGCATATCTCCATCTGTAATATTGTTGCTGATTTGTGCAATTTAAATTTTGTTCTTAATTTTTTTCCTTTAGCTGTGTTAAAATTAAGGATGACATATCAGAGAAATGAATTACTGGTGCTGTCCAAAAAAAAACCAAGGAATGTGGAATCTCACTTGCGTAGGCCTGATCAATAGGAGCGTGGATCCCTGCTACTCAGTAGTAGGTTGGATTTACCTCCTATTGGTCCTGGGCATATTGTATGACCCTAATCGCATCTTGAGGAAATTTTTTAAAAATTTCCTCATGGGATGAGGGAGTCACTGGCTCAGCCAGCATTTATTGCCCATCCCTAATTGCCCAGAGGGCAGTTATGAGTCAACCACATTGCTGTGGGTCTGGAGTCACATGTACACCAGACCAGGTAAGGATGGCAGTTTCCTTCCCAAAAGGACGTTAGTAAACCAGATGAGATTTTTCTGATAATCGGCAATGGATTCACAGTCATCATTAGACTCTTAATTCCAGATATTTATTGAATTCAAATTCCACCATCCACCGTGGTGGGATTTGAACCCAGGTCCCCAGAACACTGGCTGGGTCTCTGGATTAATAGTCTATTGGTATTATCGCTGGTCTATTGCCTCTCTCCTGACACATAATCCATTCCCATTCACTTTCCCTCCATGTGGTGTGCTCAGACAGTGCAACATGTCTAAGTTCAGTGACACAATCAACTTTCGCAGAGATGAGGCAATCAAAGGAGATGGTTAGAGTGTTTCTAACAGATCAGTAAGTCAATGCACCATCTGGTGTGTTATCCAGCCTTAAAAAGCTAGATGACCTTTTGTTTTTGGAGAACTTGCTGATGTTGACAGTTTTCACTTGGGAACAATTCTAGAAAGCCTTACCATAGCCTAAGTCGCAATCCAGCAGAGTAAACTTAAATGTTTTGATTTTTATACTAATTACCCTTTTATCATTGTTTTCATAGAATGTACAAATGGCCAAATAACAGCAGATAAGATTTTTGATGTGATACTACCTGCACAGTATAGTGCTGCTGATTTGGACGCCTGCCTGGATAATAACATCCTGAAGGATCGACTGTCTCAACTGGGAACTCTTGCATTTTCTACAGAACAACTTCAAGTTCTCAAAAACAAACTGAGTCAGGTAAAGTTACACGGTGTGAAAATAATTACTGCAAGTTTGACAAAGAAACAAATGAGGCATGTGCTTTTGTATAGGTGAGGTGAACATTTGGTGTCGGGGGAAATCATATCAGAGGGAATTCCCCACAAATCATTAGCTTTAAATTTAAGTAGTAAATACTTCAATGTTTGCTTAATGATTATGCTTTTCTATTTTAATGGAGAATGTGAATTCTTTTTTGCCCGTTCTGCTATTTTATTGCATGAATTTATCTTTGTCAACATCTTCGAATGGTAAAGTAGTTTGTTCTGTTAGAAACCCTTGTGGCCTTCAGGGTCTTTTCTCACAGCAGCCAAACTGATGGAATAAAGTCATTTGTTTTGAATAGTGTAGGAATAAGAGAAGGCCACTCAGCCCCACCATTCAATTTAACTACATCTGATCTGCAGCTTAACTCAGTTTTCCCATGTTTGTTCCATACCCTTTGATACACTTACCTGAAGAAAATGACTAATATCTGTCTTGACAATTGAAATTAGCCCAGGATGCACAGCCATTTGTGGGATAAGAGCTCCCAAGTTGACACCCTTTCTTCCCAGCTTTTCAGTACTAACTGAAATAATGCATTGGATCATTATTAAAATAGCCATCCATTCACAAGCACAATTAACTTCTTTCCCAGTCAGTTTTTTTTTCTTATTCCAGAGGTGGAATTTATCACTTTATAACCGAGCAGCTTAGAATCAAGACAACTGGTTTCTAATGAGGTCAGCCAGCTGGACTTCATAGATTATGAGTTCCCTGATTGGGGCTCTTAATATGGTCCAACCAGGGAGCCCTGGCTGACAGGTAAAAAACAGGAGGGTCAGAGATACTGACACTCTGAGAGCTGACTCTGAAGAGGCAGCACTAAATTCAAGACCTGTTCATGTGTAGAACATAGAACAGTACAGCACAGTACAGAACCTTCGGCCCACAATGTTGTGCCGACCTATTACCCTACTATGTAAATAAAGGGTGACTTGGTGACAGGATACCGGCCTCTTTGGAATAATTTCATTGGACATCCTGGCTGATTATTTGATTCAGCATTGCTAGCTGGGAGTAGCACTCACGAGAAGCATATTCTAAGAAATCACAGGTTGCCAGCTTGTGGTGTTACAACCTGCATTCCTTGCAGGCATTAACTGTGATGGCAACTTGCTTCTTTGCTCTCTTCATTGCATTGGCAATAATAGCCTGAAAAATGCCCAATCATTTAAATACTTCTGGTTGTCAGCAAAATTCATTGGCAGTTGGGAGGTGTAGGAATTCCGCTTTTTGCAGTGCAGATAAGTTTCCTGAGAGGGAGGCATTCCTGGAGATTTGAACCAAGTCTTGAAATGCTAATAATCCACGGCAGAGATCTCAAAATTCTGTTGAGACACAAGATATTCTTTTGGATGTTAGAACAGTGGAGGAGAGACACAGAAATACAGATGTACATGTATACTTTCCAGCACACAGTTACTTACTATACTAGGGTCAATGACGACAGCTAATTCTAACGGGTCATTAACCAGAAAGGGTACCTAGCAGACAAGAACATGAAACACAGCAGGTCTGGCAGCATCTGTGGAGAGAAAAGCAGAGTTAAAGGTTTGAGTCTGGTATTACTGTTCTTCAGAACTCTGACCTGCTAAGTTTCTCCAGTGTTCTCTTTTTTCAGATTTCCAGCATCCATAGTATGTTGTCTTTATTCAAGCACACAAGGGAAATGGGTGAAAGTATAAACCTATATAAATAGAATGCCTCATTCAATTATAGAGGTCTTGTGTAGAGGGCAAAAAACACCTAATTAGATCCTTTTGTAGACCTGACAAAAGAATGGGAAAATTACAGTTCCTTTAACTTCCCCCTTGCCTTTTTCTTTAAAGAAAACAGTACAGAAAATGGGTTTCCATTTATTGTGAAATAATGTCATCCTTTTTGATTATTTTAGTGCCAGTATCAGGGAATGCCCAGATTGGCTGCAGTTTAAGAGAAATGGGAATGCTACATCTGGAGGGGTGGGGGGAAGAATTGAGTGACAGAATATTTCTTAACTGCCGAGTTTTGGGGAGTATGGGTTTCCAAAGGGACCTCATATGTCCTTGTTCGTGAGTCACTAAAAGCTAACATGTAGGTAAAGCAATCGGTGGGGAAGGAAAATGGTGTGTTAACAAGGGAGTTTTTGGCACAGGCTAAAAGATACCTTAAGTGATGAAAGGTGTGTGATTTTTTTTGAGGTTAGATTTTAAACTAGTGGCAAACAGTGAGTGTTGGTCTATTTTTGTGAAAAATGTTAAAAATTAACTAGATCAGTGTTTCCATGATTTTAAACCAGTATGTGCCTCCTGAAGTGTTAAAGATACTGTAGAGTTTTACAACCAGTGAGAGCAAATGTTAAGCCATTAGCATAGCAGAGGTTAGGAAGAGCAAGGTTTATTTTCAGATTAATTAGAGTTTTTGAGTAGCTTGAGGAAGACCTGACTGGAATCAGAAGCAAGTAAAGCCTCTCATAGGAAAAGGAGATTGTTTAGAGCAGTTAAAGAAATTGATTACCTTAGTGAAAGGGTGTTATTTGTGAAACTTCCAGATCAGAAGTGTGTGGTTAGAAACCTGCATCGGTTATTCAAAGACTGAGGAAGTCTAAACTCTCAGTTGTGTGAGTGGTCAAGGCAAAAAGTGTCACAGATCATGTGACCAGAATGGTGAAAAAGGAATTCAGTCAAATCTACTGAACTGATAGGGAAGGAATTTCTCTGGGTTTTGTTAAACTGTAAAGTGATAGCATTGAAGAGTAGATCTGATTTTGTTTTGTTGTGTGTTTTGAAGTCTTTTAAGCTGTTATATTTAGAAAGAGCTTGGTTTATTTTATTTTAATTTTTTTGAGGTTGACACCAAATGAGCACTTTAAATACTTATGTTTCATTGAAAGGCCAGCACATTGAAAACTAAATGAAATATGATCTATCAAGCCAGACTTTATTCTCGGATCTGACTTGTTCAATAGTAACATTGGCTGTGATTGTAATGCTTCCTACAGTTCTGTCGATACTTGGTGAGACAGAGCTATAGTATTGCGCGCAGTTTCGGTCTCCTTATCTAAGGAAGAATATACTTGCCAATGAGGGAGTGTAACTGAGGTTCAACAGATTAATCCTCTGGAATGACAAAGAAACCAAATCTGGAATTGACAGCTGGCCAAACAGCATTCATGTAACCACTGGTCAATTGTCATAAAAACCCATCTGGTTCACTAATGTTGTACAAGGAAGGAAATATACTGTCTTTACTTGGTCTAGCCTACATATGTCTCCTACAGATGGTTGAGTCTGGAAAATTCTGAAAGCAAGCAGAATCACAGAAGAATCCCTAAGGTATGGAAAGAGGCCATTCGGCCATCGAGTCCACACTGATCCTCTGAAGAGCATTCTACCCAGACCAACCCCCTTCCCTATCCCTGTAACCCTGCATTTCCCATGGCTAACCCATCTAGCCTGCACATCCCTGGACACTACAGACAATTTAGCATGGCCAATCCACCTAACTTGCACATCTTCGGACCTGTTAGAGGAAACCAGAGCACCCGGAGGAAACCCACACAGACATAGGGCGAACCTGCAAACTCTACATGGATAGTCGCCCGAGGCCGGAATCAAAACAGCTCCCTGGCGCTATGAGGCAGCAGTGCTAACCACAGAGCCCACTGTGCCTATCAGGGATAGGCAATAAATGCTGGCAAAGTCAGTGATTCCCACAACCCATGAACAAATAAAAAAGAAGCTGGATTTTCTTATGAGAAGAGAATAAGTCTTTTTTCTGGGCCTGTATTCTCAAGAATTTTGAAGAATCTCATTGAAACTTACAAAATATTTACAGGGTATGACTGCATGGATGTGTATAGGATATTTCCCCTGGTTGGTGTGTCTAGAACCAGGGGATATAATCTCTGGATAAGGGATTGGCCATGTAAGACTGAGGTGAGGAGAACTTTCTTCACTCGGAAGGTGGTAAATCTTTTGGAATCCTCTACCCTACAGGGTTGTGAAAGCTTTATCGATGAGAATATTCAAGAGAGAAATCAATATATTTCTAGAGACCTAGTGGGATCAAGGGATATGACGACAACATGAGAAAGTGGCATTGAGGTAGATGATTAGGCATGATCTTATGAAATGGTGGAACTGGCTCAGTGAGCTGAATGGCCTGCATCTATCTATATGATCCCTGTTGCTAATTCAGAGTTGCCCAGAAATCTTGCAAGAAAACTGAAATTTCCCTGGTCAACAGGCTCCTCAGCAACTTGCCATGCTGTTTACAGAATTAGCTCTCCAGGGCATGAGTGGATCCTCCAATTAACTTAAATCATTAGATTAGCCAAATGTGGTGGAAGACCCTAACTGATTGCTTCCTTGTGCAAAATACAATAACATAGAACTTTTCAGTTCGCGTGTGGAATGAACTTACTGACGAAGTGGTGGATATGGCTACAATTACAATGTTTAAAAAACATTTGTATAAGTCGATGAGTTAGAAAGGTTCGGAGGGATTTGGGCAAATAGGAGTAGCTTAGTTTGGGATTTTGTTTGGCATGGATTGGTTGGACCAAAGGGTCTGTTTCTGTGCTGTATAACTCTATAGAAAATGATCCTTATTCTTTTCTTAATCATGTACAATATGAATAAGTGTTATAATTCATCTCTAATTTTTCACTAACTTAAACATTTTGATTAATGTTCATGGATCTGAAACATTAACTAAATAGAAGCTAGCTAATCTTTGTCCGACATTTTCTGTTTTTATTTTCTAACTCTGAATATTTCCGAAACAGATTTATCCAAATGGATTACCAGAAGAGAAAATTCAGCTGCTGGGAATCATTGCTGTGGTGTACAATTCTACCGAAATCAGCACTTGGAATATAACCAAAGTGGAGACCGTTTCAGCTGTACTGCCAAACAGCCAGAATGATATCACGGTACAACAGCTCAAAAGAAACTTTTAACAAAAATTAAGTTGAGGGATTGTCTTGGTTGAAAGAGAGTCTGGCTTTAAACTCAGACCTTCTGGGCTTATTTGTTTCTGAATATGGGGAAATATAGGGCAGTAAGACAAGTCTGCAAAGGAGTCAGTTGGATTGATGTTAGGCTAAAATTTCTTTGCTGTTCTTTCAACATTTAACAGAGGATTACGGTTGAAAATGTTAATTATCATTTTTATTAACATCCTGTAATGGAAAACTGTTTTATAGTTTGCTAATGGTCTAATGGCTACTGTAGGGAATTTTGCTTCTTTTAAAATTACTCCTTGTAAAAGGATTCTACTAAAATGGAAACGTGGATCATGCACATAGAGCTTTCAGTTGATTGCCCTGGATATTCCAATGGCTAGACAGTTGTAGGAGAAGCATAAACTAATGTTGTACATTAGTACCATGTGGAGGTAGCGGCTGACTTTACAGGAAATGTCCAGGAAGTTGAGAATTCTGACGGCCAGCTCCCCTGTGTCTGGAAACCTCTGAGAAAAGCCCATAATTTCAGGGATGTTGGAGAGTTCTAATTCAGCGCAGCCTTACAGTTAGGTATGAGTTAGAGAAACCTACTCCAACTCCTGAGTATCTATTAAACTGAACTACTAAACTCAATCCAGTTGGATCCAACACCCTCCTTCTCCACATTCCAAACTGATACCAAACCTCCCCCCACTTTCCCAACTAGACAGACCCTCAAGCTGAGCATTCATCCATGTACCTGGTATCTCACTGAGCTAGCACCCAAACCCCCTCATCCACCCTTCCCCCTTAACACCCACCTGCTCCTTACTCAGCACCTGCAGAATCCACAACTACTACCATCCAGAAGGAGAAGGGCAGCAGATACTTGGGAAAACCCCAGACTGCAAGTTCCTCTCCAAAGCCACTCACCATTCTGACTTAGAAATATATCGCTGTTCCTTCGCTGTCGCTGGGTCAACATCCCTAACATTTCCTAATAACAGTTTGGGTCTACCTACAGCACACAGACTGTAGTGCTTCAAGAAGGCAGTTTACCACCAGATTCTTGAGGAATTAGGGATAGGCAATCGGCCAATAATGCTGAGAGTGAATCTAGACAGTGATTTTTTTTTTAAAAAGAAAAAAAGATTTTGAAATTTCATCAGAATACCTGGGCAATTTATCCCAAAAATCAGAATTCAAATCTAATCCAAGTTACAAAGGTTCTTTGTGAAAGTGAATTTTGGCTGTCTTAACTCAGCAAGTGCAGATATTCAGCTCAGAGTTGCTATAATTTGAAGTAATTTGGTAATTTCAACTAAACAGGATGTCAAGGTTTGCTGCCAGGTGAAATGAAAGTGTTCTGTTAATTAAGCAGGGCAATGCTTTGAGATTGGGGTTAGACATTAAACAGAACACACTGGAGGGAGTCTTGATTTTTCAATAACTGATGCCATATTACTAACAGTGTCATAATTGAATACCATCTGGTACTGAAGAACAAAAAAAAGACAAATTAAATACTACCAAAAAGAATAAAGTAAAATACGCAGAAAGTTTTGTCGTGTGAAATTCACTTTGATAGAAGATTACTTGCCTAGCTGCAGTCATTTTCTTAACATTCTGTCATTCTAATCCATAGAGAAAAGCTGTTGTTTCAACATACTTGAAAGCAGGTGGAGTGTTAAACGCAAGTATATTGAATATGATCGGTGGTAGCGTGTTGTGTCTTCTTGATGAAAGCCAAATCCAGGCAATCAGCTCCACTGAAATCAGGTAAGTGTTCTTATATCCAGGCTGCTGAGAACCAGTTACGTGTATTCTGTGTTTACGTGGCCATTGCTATGAACCAGACCAGACCCTGTCAATACATTTTAGGAAAGTCGCCTAACCCTAACTTTCTCCTTTTTTAAAGACAAATATGAAGTGCCTATCCCAGATGGAATGCAACTGGTCAAACTACTCAACATTAAGCAAATCACAATTTATTTAAACATCATGGTTAAAATACATCCAGAGCAAACAGGATTTTAGAATAACAACTCTATTGGAAGACTTAACAGAATAATAAATACAGTAACTATGACTAATTAACTGTTCCAATATAGTCATATCTTACAAACACACCCTTTGGCAAAAAGGCAAATTCAGAAAAAAAAGATTTTGTCTCTCAAGTAATCTAGCAGCCTAGGAAGACAACCCTCAGTTTTTGGCTGTAATCAAGAGGGGAAAATAGCTTCCACTTCTTCAAGATTACAACAGCATCAACTCTGTTAAGACTCCGACAGCAACTGCTTAAAACTAAAAAAATTAAAAATCTTGGTCTGTGAGAGCTGGCCACACCCACTCAGGCTACTTCTAATTGTTCCAACTTGAAAAAACACCCAAGGCATCACGAGCTGTTTATGTTACCACAGACTGCTCGGCGCCTCTCTCAACTGCTCTCATTCAATCTCTCTTATAAAAAAGTCAGAATAAAATAGCCTCTTAAAGTCACAGCATTGTCACATCATGCAAATGTCACAGTTCTAACCCACACAGGAACTCGTTTTTATACTGATTCCTTTTAACCAGGACCTGGAAATTTGCAATCACTTCCCCAATCCTCCAAGTTCCCTCAGCAACAAAAATTTAAACGGCCTCGAGTCTTCTATTTTCTTCAGTTACACTTTGATTGCTGTAGAAGTCTGTTTCAACACAATACAGAAGGATGCACAACAGATGCTGCCATACATAAATAACATACTTCTGTACATTTTATACTTAGCAATCCATTGAAGACACATCTCAATATTAGTATGTAAGAAGTGATGACTACACACACATTTGCTTTAAACTCACGTGTCCACATTTCTAATGAAACTCTCTCAGTAGAGATAGTAAGAACTGCGATGCTGGAGTCAGAGATAACGCAGTGTGGAGCTGGATGAACACAGCAGGCCAGGCAGCATCAGAGGGGCAGGAAAGCTGACGTTTCGGGTCGGGACCCTTAGAATTGTCTGTAATTACAGCCTCCCACCACTGGTGGTGTAGCGCCATCCAACCGTTCTAACTCATTCTTTGAAGTGAACTGTTTCTGTTTTACCAAAAACCACATTGCACTAGGTTTTTCTTTCCCTAAACAACGGATAATAGGAGAGAATCAAAGTAATATATAAAAATAAGAGTGGAAATATATAACTTATTTAGATAGAGACTAAATTGGCTGTAAACAGTTTGGTCCAGTTAACAGGCTGTTCAGAGACAATTTGTTTTCATTGATTATTGCTTTAGATTCAGTTAGAAAAATATTCCTTCTGAGCTTTTTAGGTGTAATGTTTTGTTTGATACAAAAGCTTAAACATTTTATGATGACTTTCTTAAAGCAAAGTTACAAATGATTGAATAATTCTGCAAGCTTGCTATGGTATTTGTAAACTATCCAACAGTCTCAATGAAAAAATTGCACAACCTTCACCAATAATTTCATATGCCTTAACTTGCACAAATGGAAAATGTGTGTTTAAGTACTCGACAATAAGGACCTAAAGATAGGGCGTAAAAGGGCCATAAATGATGATGGGCAAAGTGATGATGAGGAAGCATAATGTGGAAGCACACTTGGGGAAGGTTGATCATTTGAAAGGGAATAATGGCATTTTGGAGTTCCTTTTGATGGTCAGCCTTCCTCAACAAGAGTGTTAACTCCAATTGTGCTTTCAACAACCCTTAATGGTCCCAAACTCCCAGCCAACCCAGCTGGAATCACCAGGGAAACCTGCGAATGATACATACTGCTCCAATGCATCTTATATACCATGGAATTGAGCTGTAGTACATTCATTTCCAAGTATCACTGTTTCTTTTTAACTAGTTTTTCCCTCACCAAGCTTCTTAAGTCCCACAACCACAAATCCCAATCTTTCCTTTTGCTGTGTGATACTCTTATAATTTTCTTCAATCTGACTTTAAGAACTTCCACTGCAAAACCTCTTGTTTTCAACATACCTCTCTTTGTGATCCAACATGTAAGCCCAGCTAATAGAGTCATACAGTTGTACAGCATGGAAACAGACCCTTCGGTCCAACTAGTCCAAGCCGATCAAATATCCTAAATTATCTAGTCCCGTTTGCCAGCATATAGCCCATATCTCTCTAAACCTTTCCTACTTACATACATATCCAGATGTCTTTTAAATGTTGCAATTGTACGAGGCTCCACCGTCCCCTCTGGCAGCTTCTTCCATACACACACCACCCTCTGCGTGAAAAAAAATTGCCTCTTAGGTCCTTTTAAAACTTTCCCCTCTCACATCAAACCTATGCCCTCTAGTTTTGGACTCCCCTACCCTGGGGAAAAGACCCTTGATTATTCACCCTATCCATGCCCCACGTGATTTTATAAACTTCTATAAGGTCACCCCTCAGCCTCTGCCACTTCAGGGAGAATAGTCCCAGCCTATTCAGCCTTTCCCTATAGCTCAAAACCTGGCAACATCCTTGTAAATCTATTCTGCTCCCTTTCAAGTTTCACAACTTCTTTCTTATAGCAGGGAGACCGAAGTTGAACGCAGTATTCAAAAAGTAATCTCCCCGAGTATTCCTGGAAATGTAAGCATCTCCTCCCAGTGCTTTGAGGCCTTGAGTGCCCCATAAGGTACTATTAAATCCCAACACTCTATCCCAGTACTGCCATGGCCTCCCTCAATGCTAGGACTGGTGCCCAAGTCTCTGACACTGAACCATGCTTTGAAAAATCCAGTTGTTGAATGGAATACTGCTTGCTTTTTGTAAGTAAAATAATTCAGACTGTTGTAACTATTTTCCCACAGCAACGCTTCCACATTGAATATTTCGTCGTGCTCTCAGTCAAAGAAAAAGATAATATACAACAAAATAAAAAGCATTATCGAGAAACAAACTAATGATTCAGTCATTTATTATAATCAGATAAAGACGTACCTTGGTAAGTAATACAGATATAAATCTCAGCAAAGAAGTTGTTCTGAATTCTGGATTTATTTCCTGTACTGAATTGTACAATTTTCAGGACTGATATATAAAAAGACTATTTTTTCCACGATTGGCAAAAGACTATTAAAATTTGTGGAAGTACAAATTGAACCTTTGAAAGCTACAATTAATCAGAATATGACATTGAAGCGGAAGAAGCATTCTGCTGCTTTTATTAAGGAAAACTCTCTTCTATCTAATTCTTATCTACTTGCAGATATAGTTATTGTAACAAATTAAGGAGTAATGATTGTAAAATGCTGATTTAAACCAAGACACTATTGACATAAACATTAAAAATGAAACTAATCTGAGATTGAACTGCTACTACTTTCAAAAAATTGCTGCATTTCAATTTTGTGTGCCTTTTATTGGTATTTCAGGTCTACTTATTAACACTTTAAAAAGAATTGTCAGCACAAGTACGAGTAAATATTGTCTCAGTATGAGAAGGGAATTTTACTAAGGAACTCACAATGATCACTGTATTACTGAAGCTTATCATGTGCAGGAAGTTCTGTATATTCTAAGATGCCAGTGCTTGGAAAGCACACTGTCATTTTTATTAAACGAGTTCTTTTTTGTTTTCTAAAGCTGGTGCAACGACATCTGATTTACGGACTCTTGCTAAGACCACTACGAACATGGACCCGAGTGTATTCCTGACACTGAATCCTGAAGAAGTAAAAGTATGGAAAAACACAATATTTATGATTGTGTGAGTGTGTGTGTGTGAGTGTGTGAGAGAGAGCTGGGAGGAGTGGGTGAACAAAGTTGAGCTTGTCCTTATACAGTGATGCCTTTCAAAATCAAATAATCTGTTAATAAGCATTTGTGACACGTGTTCAGAGAATTGTTACTCAGTTTAAGTAGTAAATGTCTGCCACTTCTAGGTTCCACACCGAGAGCTAGCGCCATTAGAAAATTAGCAGGATGATGTGTAACATAGTGCAGTGGCATTGAGTGAAATTATGACCACTAAAAGCATGAGCTTTATTAGTTTGGTCATGTCATTTCCTAATCATTTCATATTATAGCAAATGCAAAAACTGGGTTTAAGTTAGAAACTAGGCTTTAATAAATTGACAACAAATACATTTGACTGAGAAACATAATGGTACATTAAGTTCACACAAGCTTCATGAAAGTGCAAATCTTTCTTATTCTTTTGTTCAGAGTTTCAGTTCTGCCCCATAATTTAGGCACTTTCCAGCATTTTATGCACATCAATGAGGTCTGTTGTGTGGTACGAACATGACCATTTTTCTTGAAGTAACACACAGTTCTTTTTGTTTCAGGCACTCAGTCCTGGCAATTTGAGAAATTTGCTTGGAGTAAACCTTCAAACTGTTAAGGATGCTGAAAATTCCACATTAGTCCAAAAATGGATTGAGCAGCATACAGTAAGTGAAGTCCAGAGTCTAAAAATTGGCTTGACAGGAGGGAACCCAGACATAATACCTCCAGACCTAATAAGTATCCAAGGTAAGTGGAGTCGATTATAAGTGAATTATGTTAATAATGATTACTGATAACAGAAATGCATTTTAAGATTTTCAAAACTTGTTGAATAATTAGAGTTAAAAATCTTTTTGTTTTTCATTTTAGAAATAGGTTCATCATCATCTTCTATCAACAAGAACTGTCTCCTATGTACAATCCAATCTCTATCTATCAGCATAATAATCATCATACTACAAAGGTGGTTATAGTAGGGAAAGAGAGTTATTGTCCTCAGCAGTATCTGTAGTACACATGTCAGTGAGGAATTCAATGATTTCTGTGTGCAAATCAATAATGCATCCAGCTAATGAAAACACAGTCTGAGTATACCACTCACAGACGTTTACTGTATGGCTTAAATTATATGCTAATATTTTAATTCACAAAACAAAATCTATATAAGTTCTGCTCTGTATATTAGGAGATGGTTAACTGGGATCCTAGAACGATTAAAAAGATTACCAGAATATGATTTTGAATGAATCATGAAAGTCATGCGAAGGGACACAAATTTGAAGGAGAAACTGAAGAATTGATATAAAGAAGCTCTTTAATCAGAATGTTAAACGTTTTTGAATAACATGCCACTTAGCCTACTGAAGAATAAGTTCATTGTTCAAAATCAATATTTATCTTCCAATGGATGTAAGAAGCTACCTGAGAAATTAACTACATTGGATCAAATGCCATATCTTGTTATTTTACTCCTTTGCCATATTTTATATTTAAAATGCATTAAAGATACATATACTAAGATATTGATATATTTTTTCAGTAAATAATAATTGAACAATTTATATGTGATAGGTGAAATAATTATTTTTGTTCTGGATGGGTGTGACAATTAGTTTTGTTAAAAGAGCAATAGAAAAATTTGTGTTAAATCTGATTGAAATAGTAATTAAATAATTCAGGACAATGATATGTAAAAACTGCATTTATCTGTCCTAAACTAAAATGGAAAAATAAATTGAACTATTGACTTGAATCTCTGACTTGTGTTTTCTTTAAAATATCCACGCATTGTAGTTCATAGGATTCCTACAGTGTGGAAAGAGGCCATTTAGCCCATGGAGTGAGCAGTGACCCTCTGAAGAGGATGCCCCCCCGCCAAACCCAGACCCCATCTTATCCCTGTAATCCTGCATTTACCATGACTAACCCACCTATCCCTGGACACTACTGGCTATTTGGCACAGCCAATTCACCTATACTGCACATCTTTGGACTGTGGGGGGGAGACAGAGCACCTGGAGGAAACCCACGCAGACACAGGGAGAACGTGCAAACTCCGCACAGACAGTCGCCCGAGGGTGGAATCAAACACTGGTCCCTAACGCTGTGAGGCAGCAGTGCTAACTACTGAGCCACGTGCTACCCCTAGTTGTTGCCCTATGTAACATTTAAATCACCAAGAAGAATTGTATGAGCACCTTGAGACATTTCAGATTCAAAAATTCAAGTACCCCAGATTATAATTAGTTTGTCTGTGCCTAGTGTTCAAGGGAAATGTGTTCAAGAAATACCTTATGCGGTTTGTTCATATATACTCCATGTTAGGAGGCTGTTTTACACTGAACAGTTTTTAACACTTCTTCACCACAGTCACATTTAAATACTATATGTCATTCTGATACTTCAGTTGACGGAAAAAGAGTGGATTCACTGAGAGCAGACCTGACCGGCAAGTGGTCAGGAATTAAATCTCTCCAAGCTTGCCTTTCTTAACATTACTGCCACACCAGCTCCTGCCAAAAGACAAAACCTGGCCACAAATAAGGATGGAATAAATTCCAAACTGCAGCATAAAGTATCATTTACCAGAAACCGAAACACAATTGAATGCTTTAAAAAGTAACAAAATAAAGCACAAAGAAGCTTTTCACAAGCTCCCCTACCCATTCAGGAGAATGGTCAGATTAATCAATTGGTTACTGAGCATTCACACTAGGTGGCAGTCTAAGACTGCTCAAGTGTTTTAATGTCTTACGTTACGATCAAGGATGAGAATATAGGATGGGAGATGAACACTCATTCTGTTCTGTCAATCAGGCCAATCATTGCTGTTCCATACCTCATTGACCTGTATGGTTGTATAAAAGTATGATACATAGTCAATTAGGTTGTGAATAACTTCACCTCTTTGCCTGATGAAGGAGCAGCGCTTCGAAAGCTTGTGATTTTAAATAAACTTGTTGGACAATAAGCTGATGTCACGTGACTTCTGACTTTATCCACTCCGACGCCGGCACCTTCACATCGTGAATAAAGTATGCTGTAACACAGTCAGACAACAACAGGATGTTTGGAAAGGGTGATCAGAAATCAAATCAAGCTAGATGATCACTGATGTGTAAGCTTTATCATCTTTTTAATGACTAGAAGTCAACTAATATTGAATGTATCAGTAAAATCCATAGTTCTCTGTCATATTCTTGTCAGTGGAATAAAGCAGTTTAAGAATTTATATCTTCCTGTTTTTCTAAATTTAACTGTCTATTTTCCAACAGATTTAAGAAATACACATGCAAAAACATATGACTACCTAGTTCATCAGGTACAGCAAGTAACTATGGTCACATACCCAAGTTATCCTACTCTGCAAACAGATGTGAGGCAGTTGTATAAAATACTTATGGGAGCCACTAACACTACAGACCCTTGTTTGCAGCAGAAGTGTTTTAGTCTCCATCAAATCAATTTAAAAATATCTATTTTAAAGGAAATTAATTCCAATCAGTTCTAATCATTAAGTTAAGGATATTAGTCTAAAATGGTTACCTGTCATATATAAACTATATTTAAGAAAGAGAATTTTGTGGACACTACGTTTGATCTCTCACATATCCTACTCCGTACCGATCCAGCCACCAGCATGGATCTTCGTAACTCTATCCCATCCAATGCCCTTCTATCCACGACCCTGGTCTTTTGAAGCCCCTATGCTCCCTGCCTACCACACCTTTCCCTTCCCCTGCCATACCAACCCATCTAGTATCCATGGATAAGAATCAAAGGCCACAGTAATGTGCCTATTCATGATGTTGCTATTTGCAAATAAATGTATTGAAATTCCTTTGACTAATCCTTTACAAAAACAGGATCTGTGTAATGGGTTATAGAGTCATAGAGATAAAAAGCACAGAAACAGACCCTTTGGTCCGACCAGTCTAATCTGACCATAATTCCAAACTAAACTAGTCCACCTGCCTGCACTTGACCCAAATCCTTCAAAACATTTCTTATTCATGTACTTACCCAAATGTCTTTTTAATGTTGTAATTGTACCCACGTTTACCACTTCCTCTGGAAGTTCATTCCACACGTGAACCACTCTCTGTGTAAAAACAATTGCTGCTCCATCATGTCTTTTTTAAAATCTTTCTCCTCTCACCTTAAGAATGTGACCCCTACTCTTGAAATCTCTTGCCCTAGGGAAAAGACACCTGCCGTTCACCTTATCTACATCCCTCATGATTTTATAAACCTCTATAAGGTCACCTCTCAACATCCTACGCTCCAGTGAAAAAAGTCCCAGCCTATTTTTACAACTCAAACCCTCCATTCCTGGCAACATTCTGGTAAATTTCTTCTGAACCCTCTCTAGCTTAATAATCTTCCTCCTATAACAGGGTGACCAGAACTGCACATAGTACTCCAGAAGAAGACTCACCAATGTCCTGTACAATCTCAACATGACGTCCCAACTCCGATACTCAAAGGTCTGAGAAATGAAGGCAAGCGTGCTAAAAGCCTTCTTAACCACCCTGTCTATATGTGATGCAAACTTCAAAGGATTATGTATCTTAACTCCTAGATCATAGGATTGTTGACAATTTTGACAGTCTTTGACACCTTGTCAATTATTTGTCACCTTTGACAGTTCAAATGAGTTTACACACTCTTTACTTAAATTTTGGTCTACATACTGCAACTCCAAGGTTAGCTGATACTGCCATAACAGCAGGGCAGCTGAGCCCAAACTGTCCTCATACTGCATCCACAGGGGTACCATACCACATCTGTCTCCAGACCAGCCAAAATAAATTCACTGAAACAAACCCCTGGTCAGCTCTGCCACATCCAAGTTTCGGACAGCAGAGAAACCAAAATGGGATTTAAATTGAGACAGCTGATCATTTGAAAGGGCACAGCCAGTTCTGGAGCCCACATTTTCAGTATTATTGCTGGAACATTGTTACGGCTTACAGCCTTTGGCAGTATCCACTGCCTCCGACTGTGTCTTAATATCCGATGGTGTGAATCGAGTTAGCTAATTGTCATCTAAGATGCTGGAAAAATGTTAGCATTTATTCTAAGCAGAATTGTGTCCAGGACGAGTAAAGTCTTGCTTCAATTGTATGCGAGCTTGGTTGCACTGCACCTGGAATACTGTGAAAACAGCTTTAAAGGGTAGTTAATGTAACCCCATCATTTAAAAAAAGTAGAGAGAAAACAGGTTGGTTAGCCTAATATCGGTAGTAGGTAAATTGCTACAGTCAATTCTAAAAGATTTATTAGCAGAGCACTTGGAGAACAGTGACAGGGTCGGACAGAGTCAGTTAGGATTTACAAAAGGGAAATCATGCTTGGCAAATCTACTGGAATTTTTCAGGTATGTAACTAGGGCACTTGATAAGGGGGAGCCAGTGGATGTGGTTCACTTGGACTTTTGGAAAGCTTTCAATAAGATCCTGCGTAAGAGATCAGAATATAAAATTAAAGCACATAGGATCGGTGTCGTGTACTGACAAGGCTAGAGAACTGGCTGGCAGACCGAAAACAAAGAGGAGGAATAAGCAGGTCTTTTCCAAGTAAGACCATGAGACCATTAGATATAGGTGCATAATTAAGCCATTTGGCCCACTGTGACTGATCCACCATTCGATCATAGTTGTTATGTTTTTCAACCCCATTCTCCTGCCTTCTCCCATGACCCCTGATTCCCTTACTAATTAAGAACCTCGCTACCTCTGATGAAAACACACTCAATGATGATTTGACCTCCACAGTCTACTGCAGCAATGAGTTCCACAGATTAACCAGGCAGTGACTAGCGGGGAAATGGATGTATCAGTACTTGGGTCCTAGGTATTCATAATATATGTTAACGATTTAGATGAGGAAACTAAATGTAATATCTCCACATTTGCAAATGACACAAAGTTGGCTAGGAGGGCAAGCTGTGAGGAGGATGTGGAGATATTTCTGTGTGGTTTGACCAATTTAAATGAGTGAGCAAATACATGGAAGATGAAGTATAATGTGGAGAAATGAGAAGCTATCCATTTTGGTAGCGAAAACAGGATGGCAGGTTATTATCTTAGTAGCAGTAGAATGATAGACGGGGAGATGCAATGAGACTCGCACGTCTTTGTACATCAGTCACTGAGACTAGAATCACAAAATCCCTACAGATTGAAGCAGACCATTCAGCCCATCAAGTCCACACCAACCCTCCAAACAGCATCCCACCCAGATCCAACGCCTCCCCCACCCCCCATAACCCTGCATTTCCCATGGCCAATCCACCTAACCTGCACACCTTTGGACTATGGGTGGAAACCAGAGCAAACCCATGCAGACAGTTGCCCAAGGGCAGAATCGAACCTGGGTCCGTGGCACTATTAGACAGCAGTGCTAACCAATGAGCCACCATATGTACATAGGTGCCACAAGCAGTCCAGAAGGCAAATTGAATGTTGGCTTCAATGTAAGAGGATTTGAGTACAGGAATGGGGATGGTTTGCTACAATTGTACAGGGCCTTACAACTGGAACATGGTGTGCACTTTTGGTCTCTGAGGAAGGTATTGGTTAGTTCAGGCTGGATAGTTGGTTTGCAATACAGAGTAATGCCAACAGCATTACAGCCCGTTGTCTCTTTCCAATGAGAGGTCCTCTGAGGCTATGGCCTTTATTACCTGAGGAAGGATGTTCTAACTATGAAGGGAGTTCAACGTAGGTTTTCCAGATAGATTCCTGGTTGG